GAAGGGGTAGGGAGACAGGAATAGGGGGATGGAGAAAGAGCAATAGAGAGAGGGAGATATATGGAGAAAATAGAATGCCCTAGTGATGAAGGGAGCTCCTTGTGGTCATAACTCCAGCCCTGCAGAGAGAGCGAGAGATGGAGAGAGACAGACCCAAGGTGAAAAGACAAGGGGTTGATTCAGTAGGCTATAGGTTGGGATGGGATGACTAGGGAGTAAAGGTGCTGTACAGCGAGGTGGTAGACTACTATAGAGAACCCTGCTGGACTCAGCTCTGTGAGACTGCACCAATACTGCAGTCATCATCATCATTATAGGCCAGGAGTTGTTCTGTTTTTCATGATCAGTTCATGCTGTCAAGAAAAACTCCTGGCAGGATCCTATGAGGAAAAGGTGAGGCAGATTGATTCTAGAGTCGGTGTGAGCCCAGAAAGAGATACCACCACCACCCCACAACCACCCCCCGTCCATACACACACACACACATAATTCACAGGCCAATCTCATCAGTGTGCCTAGTTCTTTCCCGCAGTAGAAGTAGCAACTGTGATACGTGATCTCTCCCCTGCGCCGTCTCTCTCTCCCTGGCCAGTGCTTCTCCCCTTACTACCACTGCCACCGCACAGTGCTGCTTCATTTACACCTAAAATATTGACGTTCTTTATTTAACCCCTGGGGGGCTCCGGTGTCACTACAGAGAAGAGGGGAGGTCTTAATGGTATGCAGTGCGTGCGTGTGTAACCCACCAGTATCACACAAGAGTAGAGGGGAAGTCTGGTCTCTCTTCTCCTCTCCACTTCAACCATGCAGGTCTGTGGGGTCTGGTTATTGGCTCCGCCCCTCCTCATTTGCCGGTTGTCAGTAGTAGGGTATTGTTCATTGTCAAGCCCACTGGTTTTGTTCACGGACCACCCATACGTAAAATGGATGCACGTATGACTAAGTCGCTTTGAATAAAAGCGTCTGCTAAATGGCATGTATAATCAATACCCCACCTGTCCACAATCAGTATTGGATTTTAGAGTAGTGTGACGGTCCTGTGTGTTATAGGTCTCACCGCTAGCATCAAGCTAACCAGGAGTGGGTGGCTGACAGGTTGCACCACACAACCATCAAATGGAGCCTTTGGTTAACTGGTCCCAATGGGGTGAAGGTGGGTTGTCAACCTCATCAATCGATTTCACGGCTGGTGCTCCTGTGGCGTTTCCTGTCATGTGCGAGCGTGAGTGAGTGCTTCTGTGGTGAGGGTACCTCTACATGGTGAAGGGTTCCTGGTGCACGTTTTCATCACATGATATGACTGTGTATATGATGTTTACAATACCTGGAGATGCGTTTTATAGAGTTGAAGTCGGAAGTTTACATACACTTAGGTTGGAGTCATTAAAACTCGTTTTTCAACCTCTCCGCAAATTTCTTGTTAACAAACTAATCTACTTTGTTAGGACATCTACTTTGACACAAGTAATTTTTACAACAATTGTTTACAGACAGATTATTTGACTTATAATTCACTGTATCACAATTCCAGTGGGTCAGAAGTTCACGTACACTAAGTTGACTGTGCCTTTGAACAGCTTGGAAAATTCCAGAAAATGATGTCATGGCTTTAGAAGTTTCTGATAGGCTAATTGACATAATTTGAGTCAATTGGAGGTGTACCTGTGGATGTATTTCAAGGCCTACCTTCAAACTCAGTGCCTCTTTGCTTGACATCATGGGAAAATAAAAATTAATCAGCCAAGACCTCAGAAAATGAATTGTAGACCTCCACAAGTCTGGTTCATCCTTGGGAGCAATTTCCAAATGCCTGAAGGTACCACGTTCATCTGTACAAACAATAGTACGCAAGTATAAACACCATGGGACCATGCAGCCATCATACCGCTCAGGAAGGAGACGCGTTCTGTCTCCTAGAGATTAACGTACTTTGGTGCGAAAAGTGCAAATCAATCCCAGACCAACAGCAAAGGACCTTGTGAAGATGCTGGAGGAAACAGGTACAAAAGTATCTATATCCACAGTAAAACGAGTCCTATATCGACATAACCTGAAAGGCTGCTCAGCAAGAAAGAAGCCACTGCTCTAAAACCGCCATAAAAAAGCCAGACTACGGTTTGCAACTGCACATGGGGACAAAGATCGTACTTTTTGGAGAAATGTCCTCTGGTCTGATGAAACAAAAATAGAACTGTTTGGCCATAATGACCATCGTTATGTTTGGAGGAAAAAGGGGGTTGCTTGCAAGCTGAAGAACACCATCCCAACCGTGAAGCACAGGGGTGGCAGCGTCATGCTGTGGGGGTGCTTTGCTGCAGGAGGGACTGGTGCACTTCACAAAATAGATGGCATCATGAGGAAGGAAAATTATGTGGATAGATTGAAGCAACATCAAGACATCAGTCAGGAAGTTAAAGCTTGGTCGCAAATGAGTCTTCCAAATGGACAATGACCCCAAGCATACTCCCAAAGTTGTGGCAAAATGGCTTAAGGACAACAAAGTCAAGGTATTGGAGTGGCCATCACAAAGCCCTGACCTCAATCCTATAGAAAATGTGTGGGCAGAACTGAAAAAGCGTGTGTGAGCAAGGAGGCCTACAAACCTGACTCAGTCACACAAGCTCTGTCAGGAGGAATGGGCCAAAATTCACCCAACTTATTGTGGGAAGCTTGTGGAAGGCTACCTGAAATGTTTGACCCAAGTTAAACAATTTAAAGGCAATGCTACCAAAAACTAATTGAGTGTATGTAAACTTCTGACCCACTGGGAATGTGATGAAATAAATAAAAGCTGAAATAAATCTCTCTACTATTATTCTGGCATTTCACATTCTTGTGAAGTGGTGATCCTAACTGACCTAAGACAGTGAATTTTTACTAGGATTAAATGTCAGGAATAGTGAAAAACTGAGTTTAAATGTATTTGGCTAAGGTGTATGTAAACTTCCGACTTCAACTGTATATCACAGTAACCACATAAACATGATGTAACAATCCTATAGGCCTCATCTACACAGAACTGCAGAAAAGGTGTGTGTATCTTGAATGTACATTAAATGAACGTGCACATGCTATAGCCTATGGAGATATGCCATTAATAGTAAACGATGATGTATGTATGTTATCCTATTCGCTGACAGAAAGCAGAGCCACTCCACTATACGGAGAAGCATGTGCTCTGGCTCTCCTATCAGTACTAAGGGAAATGCTAAATGCTAAAACATAAGGTCAGAATGGAGCTGGGCTAGCCAAGGGTGGACACTGGACAGACAGCCAAACTCTACTCCTCACCAAATATGGTCAAATCATGACCCAAATATGATCAGAAACAATGTGGTCACAATGATCACGTCTTCGTGGACTTTTAGGTAACGCCATAGCATGGTCAACCACTTTTCTCTATTAGTGTGTTTGAGTTTGAAATATTATGAACAGTTTAGCCTGGGTTTTCCTTGCCTTACTAGGACAAGGCTAGGGCTACATCATGGAAGCTTCTCTCTCCAGCTGAGGCTTATTTAAACTCCCACTTGCCTTTTTCAAACCCCCAACATTCTAGTAACAGCGTGCAGCTGTTGCCTAGCAACAGAGAGCCGAAGCACAGCCGTAGATGTGTATCTATGGCTCAGTGAGAAAGCAAACAGTGGTGTATTTTTCCCTTTCCTCCAAGCCTCTAGCTAGCTAGAGCTTGCTGACAAAGCAGGAGCAGATATTCAAATGTTGCTGCGACTGGTTTGGCTAAATTTAACAACGTCGATATACAGTGTACAACACAGTAATCTTGAATAATTTAATAAACTAAGACTATAATTCAGTCTTCTATGTCTGAGATATAGATAATTTGTCTTTATGTAGTATCATCACAGTTGATATTTGACAATAGATTCAAATCACTGTCACATGACATCAAAATGACATCTCAGCAGCATTCTATATACACACAATAACAACAGCGATTAAGTTCATGATCTTTTTTTTATTTGAAAAAAAAATTAAAGACTAGCATGTACAACTTGGAATGAATGTAAACTGAACTCAGATGAACAGTCGAAAAGACTCTTGTGCTGCAACTCTTACCTACAGAATGCATACTGCATATATACAGTACACAACAATTTCGCCACACTCTTGTCCGAGTCGAGAAAACAGAAGAAAGAAAAACGCCAGTGAATCTCCCTTAATGCCAGAAAGAGGGACACTCCATCTCAGCAAAAAACAAAGCTCCACCGTAAGACTTTTTATATCCCTCCTCTTCAGGGCAGGGACGCACAAATACCTAAGATGGCCGTCCAAATAACATAACAAAACAAACGAAAAACAAAAGCCAAACATTTTGAAAATGTACTTTTTATCTAACATACAAGTAAGTTCCATTCCACTTTCAGCTTGAATTATAAACCTTCTATCCTTTCATATACCATATCACTAGGGTTCCTCTCCAAATACAAAAAACTGTACCAAACCAACAATACCATACCAACGACACCCCTGTGGAATCAGCACGCTCGGATTGGCTGGAGGGAGTGCTCCAGTCACAAGCTGCATGCATGAAGAACAGAAAACCGAGGAGAAGAGAGAGCGCGAGAGACAGAGAGAGAGAGAGACAGAGAGATACAGAGAGAGATACAGAGACAGAGAGATAGAGAGAGAGATGGCCAGCCCAAACATCACCAGCAAATGGATGGAACGTGGAAGGGGTTCCGGGGTTCCAAATGCCTTGCTTCAGTTTGAAGGTAGTTATTATAGGGTTGTTATATTCATCTTTAAAGTACTGATGCTAAACTCATCTTTGGGGGGACAGGGTCACTAACCATATCATGCAGATATTTTTTGTATCTTTTTTTCTCTGTGTGGATGGACAGAAGGATATTTTATTTTAACATTCAATTATTTTCTATACAGAAACGGTATGAATAAATGAACATTTCTTTTCCAAGAGGTAAGTAAAACATTTGTGATTTTTTTTTTTCTTCTACAAGGGGACAAGGCAGGTTGGCCGAGCTTCACTTTGCAGTCATCATCTGTACAAACTCTGTTGAAAAGAGAGAGAGAGAGAGAGAAGAGAAAGAGAGAGAGAGAGAGAGAGAGAGAGAGAGAGCAGGAGAGAGAGAAGAGAGAGGAGAGAGAGAGAGGGAGAGAGACGAGAGACGAGGAGAGAGAGAGAGAGAGAGAGAGAGAGAGAGATGAGGAGAGAGAGGATGAGAGAGAGACGAGAGAGAGAGAGAGGAGAGAGAGAGAGAGAGAGAGGAGAGAGAGAGAGAGAGAGAGAGGAGAGAGAGAGAACACAAAGATAAGTAACGTACTATAGCTCATTATGCCCCATTGGCAAAGCGCCAGGCGAGGCAGTCAACTGCTAAATTGTTAAACTGTTTATAAATGTTTTAATCAAGCAGTGGAGGAACAGAATGCACATCATTCTAATTAGTGTCCCGTTTCCAAACGGCTTCCATGTTCATCTCATTAAGCTTATTTGATTAAAAAGTCACTGCAGTGTGAAAACAAGACAATGATGTCCAACCAAAATAAAGAAGGCTTTCAAATGCTTATAGAGTACATATGCTGTTTATGGCACAATAAGAGAGAGTGAGGAAGTAGGGCGCTTTCCAGCCAAGACATATAGACTATTTATTGTGTCAACAGCTCCTTCTAAAAAATGAGCGCATTGTCTTGTGTAATGCACTTAGGGAATAGGAGTGAAAGTGGGGGAGGGGAAAAGAGAGTAGAGTTAAGACTATAAACTGAACATTATCGACATCGACCATACCGTTCACTTATCGCAGGCATTTTGCTGATATCGTGAAGTTTGAAATGAAATGTGTTTTCTAATATGGGTGATTGTTAATGGGACAATTGATGGATACAACCATCAGACTAGTACTAGTAGTTTAAAGGATTTTTTTTTTTTTTTTACTGTGGTGCACATTAAATGTTATAAACGTATCATTCTATTTATTATCACATCAATTCAGGCAATTTATCGCAATATGGATTTTTGTCCATATTGCCCAGCTCTGAGAGAGAGAAAAGGGAGAGAGAAAGAAGGAGAGAAAGAATAGAAAAAGAGAGAGGGAGCAAAAGGCTGGTTACGCCTGCTACAGGGCTGTTACAAGCCTGCTACAGGGCTGGCGCTACACGTTACATGTAGCTGGTTCAGCCTGCTGTACAGTGCTGGAAAGGCTGTATAACCAGTCGTAACCACTGCTACATGTAGCTGGCTATACCTCTTACATGTCTGTTACATGTAGCTGGTAATACCTATTACATGTCTGTTACATGTAGCTGGTAATACCTCTTACATGACTTTTACATGTACAGTGCCTTCATAAAGTATTCATACCCCTTGACTTATTCCATATTTGGTTGTGTTACAGCCTGAATTAAAAATTTATACATGGTTTTTGTATTTTTATTTTTTTACCCATCTACACACAATACCCCATAATGACAAAGTGAAAACATGTTTTTAGAAGTTTTTGCAAATGTATTGAAAATGAAATACAGAAATACAGTGGGGGAAAAAAGTATTTAGTCAGCCACCAATTGTGCAAGTTCTCCCACTTAAAAAGATGAGAGAGGCCTGTAATTTTCATCATAGGTACACGTCAACTATGACAGACAAAATGAGATTTTTTTCTCTCCTGAAAATCAGATTGTAGGATTTTTTATGAATTTATTTGCAAATTATGGTGGAAAATAAGTATTTGGTCAATAACAAAAGTTTCTCAATACTTTGTTATATACCCTTTGTTGGCAATGACACAGGTCAAACGTTTTCTGTAAGTCTTCACAAGGTTTTCACACGCTGTTGCTGGTATTTTGGCCCATTCCGCCATGCAGATCTCCTCTAGAGCAGTGATGTTTTGGGGCTGTCGCTGGGAAACACAGACTTTCAACTCCCTCCAAAGATTTTCTATGGGGTTGAGATCTGGAGACTGGCTAGGCCACTCCAGGACCTTGAAATGCTTCTTACGAAGCCACTCCTTCGTTGCCCGGGCGGTGTGTTTGGGATCATTGTCATGCTGAAAGACCCAGCCACGTTTCATCTTCAATGCCCTTGCTGATGGAAGGAGGTTTTCACTCAAAATCTCACGATACATGGCCCCATTCATTCTTTCCTTTACACGGATCAGTCGTCCTGGTCCCTTTGCAGAAAAACAGCCTCAAAGCATGATGTTTCCACCCCCATGCTTCACAGTAGGTATGGTGTTCTTTGGATGCAACTCAGCATTCTTTGTCCTCCAAACACGACGAGTTGAGTTTTTACCAAAAAGTTATATTTTGGTTTCATCTGACCATATGACATTCTCCCAATCCTCTTCTAGATCATCCAAATGCACTCTAGCAAACTTCAGACGGGCCTGGACATGGACTGGCTTAAGCAGGGGGACACGTCTGGCACTGCAGGATTTGAGTCCCTGGCGGCGTAGTGTGTTACTAATGGTAGGCTTTGTTACTTTGGTCCCAGCTCTCTGCAGGTCATTCACTAGGTCCCCCCGTGTGGTTCTGGGATTTTTGCTCACCGTTCTTGTGATCATTTTGACCCCACGGGGTGAGATCTTGCGTGGAGCCCCAGATCGAGGGAGATTATCAGTGGTCTTGTATGTCTTCCATTTCCTAATAATTGCTCCCACAGTTGATTTCTTCAAACCAAGCTGCTTACCTATTGCAGATTCAGTCTTCCCAGCCTGGTGCAGGTCTACAATTTTGTTTCTGGTGTCCTTTGACAGCTCTTTGGTCTTGGCCATAGTGGAGTTTGGAGTGTGACTGTTTGAGGTTGTGGACAGGTGCTTTTATACTGATAACAAGTTCAAACGGGTGCCATTAATACAGGTAACGAGTGGAGGACAGAGGAGCCTCTTAAAGAAGAAGTTACAGGTCTGTGAGAGCCAGAAATCTTGCTTGTTTGTAGGTGACCAAATACTTATTTTCCACCATAATTTGCAAATAAATTCATTAAAAATCCTACAATGTGATTTTCTGGATTTTTTTTCCTCCATTTGTCTGTCATAGTTGACGTGTACCTATGATGAAAATTACAGGCCTCTCTCATCTTTTTAAGTGGGAGAACTTGCACAATTGGTGGCTGACTAAATACTTTTTCCCCCCTGGTATCTCAATAAGTATTCAATACTTTGTAGAAGCAACTTTGGCGGTGATTACAGCTTTGCAGATCTGGATTTTCTCCCATTCTTCCTTGCAGATTTTCTCAAGCTCTGTTAAGTTAGATGGAGAGCGGAGGTGAACCACAATCTTCAAGTCTTTCCACAGATTTTCAATGGGATTCAAGTCTGGGCTTTGGCTGGGCCACTCAAGAACTTTCACATTCTTGTTCTGAAGCCATTCCAGCGTTGCTTTGGCTGTATGCTTGGGATCAGTGTCCTGTTGGAACGGAAATCTGACCGTCTAAGGTAGTTTGGACTCTGAAGAAGGTTCTCATCAAGGATTTGCCTGTATTTGGCTCCATTCATTGTTCCCTCTATCCTTACCAGTCTCCCAGTCTCTGCCGCTGAAAAGCATCCCCATAGCATGACGCTGCCATCACCATGCTTCACGGTAGGGATGGTGTTCGATTGGTGATGAGCTGGCCTGGTTTTCTCCAGACATAGGGCTTTGCATTCAGGCCAAAGAGTAACATTTTTGTCAGACCACAGAATCTTTTGCCGTATGATATCAGTCTTTCACGTGCCTTTTTGCAAACTCCAGGCGTGCTGTCATGTGCCTTTTTCTCAGGAGTAGCATCTGAGAAAAAGCCCAGATTGGTGAAGTGCTGTAGAGACTGTTGTCCTTCTGGCAGGTTCTCCCATCTCAGCCAAGGAATTCTGTAGTTCTGTCAGTGGTCATTGGGCTCTTGGTCACCTCCCTAACCAAGGTCTTTCTTGCCCGGTTGCTCAGTTTGGTCGGACGGCCAGCTCTAGGCAGAGTCTGGGAAGTTCTATCTTTTTTCCAATTTACCAATGATGAAGACCACTGTGCTCTTGGAAACTTTCAACACCAAAAATGTTTTATACCCTTCCCCAGATATACAGTACCAGTCAAAAGTTTGGACATACCTACTCATTCAAGGGTTTTCTTTATTTTTACTATTTTCTACATTGTAGAATACTAGTGAAGACATCAAAACTATAAAATAACACATATGGAATCATGTAGTAACCAAAAAAAGTGTTAAACAAATCAAAATATATTTTATATTTGAGATTCTTTAAAGTAGCCACCCTTTGCAAAGCATTCCAGGTGAAGCTGGTTGAGAGAATGCCAAGAGTGTGCAAAGCTGTCATCAAAGCAAAGGGTGGCTATTTGAAGAATCTCAAATATAAAATCTATTTTGATATGTTTCATACTTTTTTGGTTACTACACCATTCCATATGTGTTATTTCATAGTTTTGATGTCTTCACTACTATTCTACAATGTAGAAAATAGTAAAAATAAAGAAAAACCCTTGAATGAGTAGGGGTGTCCAAACATTTGACTGGTACGGTATGCCTCATCACAATTCGATCTCGGAGATCTACAGACAGTTCCTTGGACTTCATGGTATAGTTTGTGCTCTGACATGCACATTCGACTGTGGGACCTTATATAGACATGTGTGTTTCTTTCTAAATCATGTCCAAACAATTGAATTGGCCACAGGTAGACGCCAATCAAGTTGTAGTCTCAAGGATGATCAAAGGAAATTGGATGCACCTGAGCTCAATTTGGAGTGTCTTAGCAAAGGGATGTAAATGAGATATTTCTATATTTAATTTTCAATACATTTGCTGAATTGAATACATTTTGAATTCAGGCTGTAACACAACAAAATGTGGAATAAGTCAAGGGGTATGAATACTTTCTAAAGGCACTGTAGCTGGTTACGCCTGCTGTACAGGGTCATGTTCATTAGGTACCAAATGGAAGACAACATACTGAAACAGAGGGACTTCCTAGACTCACATTTTTGTTTTCCATGCAAAATGTTTTGAAACGTTTTCCATTTTGTGCCCCAATGAACACTACCCAGAGCTAGCCTGGAACAACTTCTGTCCTCCTCTTACCTTCATAGTTGACCTGTCCGTCTCCGTTATATTAACTAATAATATCCACTGCCACATGTGGCTGGTTAAGCATACAGGGCTAGGTGTACTGTCCTCTTACCTTCGTAATTGACCTGTCCGTCTCCGTCAATGTCTGCTTCTCTGATCATCTCGTCTACCTCCTCGTCTGTTAACTTCTCCCCCAGGTTTGTCATGACGTGACGGAGTTCTGCTGCGCTGATGTAGCCGTTTCCGTCCTGGAGACACGAGGGAAGAAATCCCATTGGGTGAGAATAGACGGAAAGGCATTCCCATTGGGGAGCAATCAGGATATAAACGAGAGGCAAATCCCCATTGGGCAATGATGAGTGGAGAGGCGAATCCCCATTGGGCAATGAACTGATAATTAAATCCCCATTGGATGGTTAATTTTATATATATATATATATATATATATATATATATAACACCATATATCACATACACATACACACACACTCTTAGACAAAGGGTTCTTCGGCTGTCCCCATAGGAGAACCCTTTTTGGTTCCAGGTAGAACCCTTTTTGGTTCCAAGTAGAACTCTTTTTGGTTTCATGTAGAACCCTCTAGGGAAAGGGTTCTACCTGGAACCCCAATAGGGTTCTACCTGGAACCAAAAAGGGTTATTCAAAGGATTCTCCTATGGGGACAGCCAAATAACCCTTTTAGGTTCTAGATAGCACCTTTCTTTCTAAGAGTGTAGCATCACCATAACTGGAAGTTTTGACGATGTGTTTATCAAAAGGTGGGTATATCTTATGAAAGATGACTGTTATTACTCTCCAAGGATGTGTTAGATAGTAAACATGCAGTACTTTACCTTGTCGAATACCCTGAAGGCTTCACGGATCTCCTCCTCACTGTCCGTGTCCTTCATTTTTCTGGCCATCATGGTCAGGAACTCTGGGAAGTCAATGGTGCCATTGCCTGGATTGGAGATAGGAAACACCCTGTTTAGTTCATTATAACACCCTGTTTAGTTCATTATAACACCCTGTTTAGTTCATTGCAATGATAAGATGCTGATAATAGTAAACATACAGTAAAAAAAACTGTGTATAAATGACAAAAAAGGCTTGTTTATTGACTAGCAATTCTTCATCATCCTATGATGATGAAAGACCCTGAAAAGCCTTTCTGTGAAATAACCTGTTATGTCCTTGCATACAACTCATTCCACTTCCTGCTATAAAAAGCAGTGCACACTGCAGAGTATCCTAGCACTAGACTGTGTGTCTTCCCTCTATACCTCAGGGTAGCCCTGGGAGGATGTTGTAGATGTACACTACACATCTACAGAGACCAGAGGAAGAGGGAGAATCCATCCTCAGTCATCCATAACGCAGACATCTCCTGTGCTGGGCTGGAGTCTGGGGCCAGGCCCCATAAATTACCTCACATCTGCCCCTGACAGAGGGCCTCGCTCTGCCTGGGGAGTCAGTAACCAGGGAGCTTGCTGCCTCCTTCACCTTGACATAGCCTCTAACCATCTCTCATCCTTCTCTCTAACCAGGCCTCACAGGGTATGTGGATCACAGGAAGCTGCTGAGGGGAGGATGGCTCATAGTAATGGCTGGAATGGAGTAAATGGAATGGTATCAAACACATGGAAACCATATGATACTGTTCCATTTATTCCAGCCATTACTATGAGCCCATCCTCCCCAATAAAGGTGCCACCGGCCTCCTGTGGTGTGGGTTCATCTGTGGTGGATGAATGGATGGATGTTGGTGGCAGCCATGGGATCTCTCACACACAGCCCCTAACCACCTCAACAACCAAGCCACTCAGGATGTGGTTAGAATTAGGGTTAGGAAAAAATAGGATTTTAATGGAAATCAATTTTAGGTCCCCACAAGGACAGTAAAACATATGCTGTGTGTGTGTGTGTGAGTGCCGTTCAGCAAGATAGAAATTCATCAACACACTAGGAAGCTCGGGATGTGCGGGGGTGGCGGAGGGAGGGGGATGGTAATGATTAAGGGCAGTTAAAAATAAAACGTCATGATTTGTTGTTGCTGCCTGCTGGGATTGAGGGAAGGTCAGAGATTCCGCTGGATTAACCCCGCGTGGAGTAGAGTGTGTGCTGTGTGCTGTTTGCGTGCGCTGTGTGTGTGGAGTGGAGGATGGGTGGGGCTGGTGGTACTGGGATTAACCAGGGAAGAGGAGATCTCCCTGTAAGCAGGGCTGTAACAACAGCAGAGTAGAAAGCATAATGTGATGGTGATCTAATGGCCGCGGGCTAGCGATCTCAAGACCTTACACACAGAGACATAGACATACAGAGACACACAGAGACACACAGACAGAGAGGGAGACGAGATACAGAGAGACGCACAGACTCTGGGCCAGCAGCACAAGCACATCAGCCCCAATCAGAGAGCAGAGACAGCCTGTGTGTGTGTGTGTGTGTGTGTGTGTGTGTGTGTGTGTGTGTGTGTGTGTGTGATGAGCCACTTTGCAGCCAGGCAGGGCCTGAAAACACACTACTGGAAGAACAATCAAGAGGAAGAGGAGGAGGCCTGGAGTAACAGAGCAGCCTGATCACTAGCAATAGACGGCGATTTTGGACGTTTGAAAAGGTCCTGAGAACGTCGATATATATGCTTTCATCGGTGCTCACAAAAAAACAAAAGCAAAAATGATTGCCCAGCACGAACCCGTGATACTCGGAGCCGGAGTGCGCTTCTTAGACTACTGCACCACCGCAGTTCCAAATGCTCTCGCAAGCCATGAGAATACTTGATAGTTGATGTTTTTCATTATTTTGTTTTAAGCCTTCCCCGAACCATAGACCTAACCTTAAGGACTCGGAATTAATACCTAAACTTAACCCTTTGAGTTGTTTCTGTTTTAACCCTGGAAGCATGCGAAATTAACCCTGTAACCACTCTGAATTAATGCGTCAAAAATAGACTTTCATCCATAATAGGTTGAATTCCGAAAGGAAACTATGGGTGTTTATCAAAATGCATCCTACCGTGCTCCAAGCACGCAAATTGGAGCACGGGAGGGTTGGTAGTATGAGTCCAAATCAAAGTATGCGAAGAAACGGAGCACGGAGGGCACATCGAAGACGTACTCTTTTTGTACATATTTTGAAGCATGCATCGATACAAGCTTCAGCGGAAAGTATGCACAGAAATATGACGCAACAACGTAAAAAATGTGGCAACATTTATTGAAATCAATGGCGCCCATTATTTGAGCTAAAGCGAGAGAAAATAAATTCTGACTTCAGAACGAAATGTTGCCCATTCACATCTCATATGTTGCCTGACTACAATATTTATCTTGATACATTAATAAATACATGCTGTGTTCAAATTGGCATGGTTACCTGCTACAATACCCACTGCAGTGTGCGTAGGTCGCAAGTCCATTGTACGTCAATCGGGCTAACTGGCTAGCTACTACTGTTAGCTAGCCAGATAGCCACAAAGAATTGTTAGCTAGCTACCCACAAAGAATTGACATCTATGTTGCATAACATTAGTTTTAGCCTGTTAAACTATCCGTTTAGCTAGATTATTATGAGTCACATATATATGATAGGCCTTCAGAAATGTTTCATACCCCTTGATTTATTCCACGTTGTTGTGTTGCAGCCTCAATTCAAAATTGATTAAATAGATTTTTTTGTGCAAATGTATTGAAAATGAAATACAGAAACGTCTCATTTACATAAGTATTCACACCCCTGAGACAATACTTTGTAGAAGCACCTTTGGCAGCGATTAAAGCTGTGAGTCTCCCTGTGTAAGTCTCTAAGAGCTTTCCACACCTGGATTGTGCAACATTTGTCCATTATTCTTTTAAGCTCTGTCAAATTGGTTGTTGATCATTGCTAGACAACCATTTTCAGGCCTTGTCATAGATTTTCAAGTATATTTAAGTCAAAACTGTAACTCGGCCACTCAGGAACATTTACTGTCTTCTTGGTAAGCAACTCCAGTGTAGATTTGGCCTTGTATTTTAGGTTATTGTCATTTCATTTTTCATTTCATTTCATTCTGCAGAAAGGTGAATTCACCTCCCAGTGTCTGGTGGAAAGCAGACTGAACCATGTTTTCATCTAGGATTTTGCCTGTGCTTAGCTCCATTCTGTTTCTTTTTTTATCCTGATAAACTCCCCAGTCTTCAACTATTACAAGCATACCCATAACATGATGCAGCATACCCATAACATGATGCAGCCACCACTATCCTTGAAAATATGGAGAGTGTACTCAGTAATATGTTGTATTGGATTTGCCCAAACATACCTATTTGTATTCAGGACTAAAAGTGAATTGCCACATTTTTTGCAGTATTACTTTAATGCTTTGTTGCAAACAGGATGCATGTTTTGGAATATTTGTATTCTGTACAGACTTCCTTCTTTTCACTCTGTCAATTAGGTTAGAATTGTGGAGTAACTACAATGTTGTTGATCCATCCTCAGTTTTCTCCTATCACAGCCATTAAACTCTGTAACTGTTTTAGAGTCACCATTGGCCTTATGGAAGGACGCCTGTATCTTTGTAGTGACTGGGTGTATTGATACACCATCCAAAGTGTACTTAATAACTTCACCCTGCTCAAAGGGTTAGGCATTGGAATACCTCCCTGGTCTTTGTGGTAGAATCTGTTTGAAATTCACTGCTCAACAAAGGCTTTACAGATAATTGAATGTGTGAGGTACAGAGATGAAGTAGTCATTCAAAAATCATGTTGAACACTATTATTGCACACAGAGTGGTCCATGCAACTTATGTGTAAGCACATTTTTACTCCTGAACTTATTTAGGCTTGCCATAACAAAAGGGGTTGAATACTTATTGACTCAAGACATTTCAGCTTTTCATTTTAAATTAATTTGTAAAGATTTCAAAAAACATAATTCCACTTTGACATTATGGGGTATTGTGTGTAACACAACAAAATGTGGAAAAAGGGGTGTGAATACTTTCTGAAGGCACTGTATGAAGTAAAATGTTTACGTTGTGTATATCTTGTTTAGTCTCTATTGCCACTGTCTTGGCTGGAAGATGGTTCAGTGAATGGGTAAGTCCATAGTAAGTCAATAGGCCTAGCTAGCTACCCACAAAGAATTGAAATCTACCTTGCATTAGTTTTAGGTTGTTTTTTCCTGTTAAACCAGCTGGCTAGCTAGAACGTCCTCTGAGAATGCACTCAGAACATGAGTGTGGAGTACGGTAGTATGCATATTGAGAAACACCCTATGAGATCTTGCTGCAGCGAGAGTTGGCTGACTGACTCCAGGGCCTGACTCTGCCAGGCTTGACATACGAGAAGGAGCGATGGAGTGGGTGGGAGAGATGGAGAGTGGGAGATGAGGAGGAGAGAGGGAACGAGTGGGAGATGGTACAATTATACTGTATATAAGAGCCACTGCTGACGCAAACTATAGGAGGCAGACTCATTCTACGGTCTATGAGGACATTCATTCCTTAGCCTAGCATTATTTCCCCATAGCTTTTCCTAGGCAAGGCGGACCGGCCCCTAAGACAACATCCAGGGCTGCAAAATGTTCCAATGAAACCAATGAAGTCCAAATATTTTTCACACTGGGGCAACAGAGATTGGTGGGGAGGGATCAAACCCGGAGAACCAATGATAGGGCAACACAAACACCACTTCAGAGCCCAAACAAGAGTCCTCTTCCTCGCTCCTCTCCCAGAGACCAACAGCACAGCTCTCTGGGGTAAAGCTAACCTCATTCTCTCCCTCCGTCATCCACTCTGCTTGTTTAGTAAATAATCTGTGGCCCTGCTGTTGACATCACTATGAGGGTACGGAATGTACAAAGCGGAGAGGGGAGTGGGAGATGAGAAGAGAGGAGATACTGAATGTACAGAGTGAAACGCAGAGCAGATCGGAGAAGAGGTTATGGAATTCGTTTTATTTTCCATTACTAGCTTCATCGCTGTCTGACCCAGACTGCCTAAACCAGAGAGAAAACGCTGTACAGATAACTAGACAGGACAGAGAGAACAGAGAGATAGAGGGGGGGACTTCGGATAGATACAGCGAGCCGAGCCAAACCGTGGTGAGATCGATCAATATGTCGGCAATCGATACGGCCCCATTTACCAAAAACCTTTAAGCTGGCAGGGCATCACCGGGGTTTAGGAGGCTAGGCCTGGTCGCCTAGACGACTGACAGGTTTAATTTCCAACATTGTTAAGAGTCAAGGACACTGCCGACCGACTCCCACCATGGTCACTCTCATTCTTAATGACTCAAAGTGCATCCCAAATGGCACCCCCTATGGGCCCTGGTCAAATGTAGTGCACTATAAAGGGAATAGGGTGCAATTTGGGTTTAACCCTCAGTCGCAGTTGATTCAGCCATAACTATTTAGGCAGGAGTCAGTTGTGTTGATAAGTTGACAGGGGTCTTGAAGACTTGTCACTCACCATAGTGCTCTTAGTGCGAAAGCTGACATTGAGACAGTAATCTGCTTGTCCTTCAGGCAGGTAACAGTGAAGTCATAAGACATTGAGGGACTGTTTGACAGGCAGTGAGTGACTGAACTGCATAGGCTAAGCTCTAAAAGGGGACAGACCGTGCTAAACGAATATGTTGAGATCATGCAACTGCATTCTGCTTTGGTCAGTTTATGGTGTGGAACTCACAATGACTACAGGTTTAGTCGCCTTTTGATGATGCACGTGTTTGCGCAAGTTTCCCTGTTTGAGCTTCTTATCCCCATTATTATTTTATTTTTTACCAATCAGGTGGGCCAACTCCAGCTTCCGGTGACTGTCCCAATCAGATATTTTACTCACCGTCAGCGTCGACCTCGTTGATCATGTCCTGCAGCTCAGCCTCTGTGGGGTTCTGTCCCAGCGACCTCATCACGGTGCCCAGCTCTTTGGTCGTGATGGTGCCGTCGCCATCCTTGTCGAATAAGGAGAACGCCTCCTTGAACTCTGTGAGGAGGGAGGGAGGAGAATGAAAGATGGGGTTACGTTAAGTCAGTATTTCCTACTGGTGTGTGGGTCAGACTCAGTCAGGCCCTCTTGGGCTGTGGCTCAAGCTTTGGTTGGGGGATGGGTAACATTTACACTAAGCTATTCTTAAGGGAGGTTGTAAAGGGTTTATAGACAGTTAATTACTAGTTAATAAGATGCAGTTCAAGAGAGACCTACAGCTAAAGGTATGTGTTGGAAGTTTAGTGTAGAATTAATGGTCTTTGATACTTTTTTCAAATCAATATGTGCTAGGCATATATATGTGATTTTAATATTGAAGGGCCATAAGAAACCACTCCAGAGCAAGATGTTTGAAGTGTACTGCTGAAGACAAGACCGAATTAGCCTGGGACCCAGTAGCATTGGCTAATTAGCCACCGAGGGGTTTAGAGATCTAACTGAAGAGAATAACAGAGAGAGTAGTAGCTAGTTATCACTGGCCCAAATCACACACACATCAAATGAGAAGATTCTATTTCATTCCAGTTATTTCAGACAAGAACATGGCTGAAGTCAATGGACAGTGACAGTAAAAAATAAGCTCCTGTATTTTTTCCTTATGTTATATGTAATGTGTGTGTGTGTGCGCGTACATCCATTGGTGTGTGCATGCCCTGTATGTGTATGTGTACTGTTCATTAATTTGTCAAACGTGTTAAAAGCATGCTAAAGAGGGTGATTACTCAGTCGTTCCTACCTGCAATCTGTTCCTCTGTTAGTTGATCGGCCTGAGGGTAAAACATTAAGGAGAGAGAAAAACAGTCAGTCAGTCACTCAGTCGCTAAATCCCAAACACCAAACGACTTAGTCATTCTCTCCTGGCTGTCGCCTGCCTCCGTGGATGTTCCAACACCCCACAGTGAGGACATTGTTCAGGGGACAGACTCACTCAGGGCTTCCTACAGACCAGTGACTTGGATGGGGAACCGGAATGTCCCCAACCTTGTTCCAGAGACTACCTTGGGTCATTTTCAGTGGACACAAACATGTTTTTGAAAACAGAAAAAGAGTGCCCTCTCTTGTTGCCAAGGTCATGTAGTAGACTACCACCTCTGTTTCTAAATGTTTTTCCTCCCTACTGAACACTACCCAGGTAGAATAACCTGTTTTGTACCTACTGGTCATGGCCCTGGCCTGATGTTAGCTGAAAATGCTAATGGAGTGTGTTCAGTTGTTCTGGTCTCCCTGACTCCCTCCCAGCATGTTCCCTGTTCTCGGTTAGCCCTATTTAATGACTCCGGTGAGTCAGAGGCGCTTTAATGAGTGTGTGTGTGTGTGTGTGTGTGTGTGTGTGTGTGTGTGTGTGTGTGATGACTTGGCAGCACTCCTCTACAGTGGGCCCACAGATGGATGAAGTCTTGACACACACAGGGCCTCAGGTTTCAAACAAACACTCACACACAGCAACAGCAACGTAGGTCTTACAACACTGTGTGTGTAAATGGTAAATCCCGCAGGTACCGTGCCAGATTGGCAAAACATGCTTATGATTATGGCTACAAACCACTGACGTAATGCTGAGTGCCTGCTGCTGGCACGGGGGGGGGGGGAAACAGGAACACACTCTAATTGGCATTTCCCTCTATGCCAATAGTTTCCATCACCAGCTTTCCTGTGAATTAGTCACATAGCAACCAGTTCAGTTCTGTCCCAAAGCAGACCAAATATCCTATAGTACAGTAGATATGTGTAGGCTTTACAGACATCTGTGTAGTTTGTTTTGTAGATGCTCTTTAACTTAGGCTGATAGCAAAATACTCTCTCTACATGGCTCTGATGCTATATCGCTGGCCTAGGTCGATACGTCCAGTGCGATGGTTAACTTCACCAGGCTAAATTAAATTAGCTGACGTGATTCAATAAGCGGCCGACAATAGGCTTTGCTTTCCTCTCCTCCCTCTTCCTGTCAGAGATCAATTATTTTACACTGTAGGGTGGGGTTAATGAACGAATGGACATTGGCCGTGGCCTCTCTTCCGCTCTACAACTCATGTCTCTCATCCCTCACCCTGTTATCTCTCCCTCTCTCCTTCTGAAGGGTGGGGCATCGGGTGGGTTCAGTGGCAGAGCTCCTGTGGCTGTTTCCCAGACAGCGGGGCCTCACCGTGCTGCTGCGCGACCAGGCCTTCTCCAGCCCTTCCGTTCCCTTTTCATGACTGGGCCTCACAGTGCTGCTGCGCGACCAGGCCTTCTCCAGCCCTTCAGTTCCCTTGGCAGCACTGGGGCTGCCTGGAACTCCTACTACAGGCCTTTCCCCTCTGGGGCTCCCGCTCTCTCACTCCTTCTCTCTTTTGGCCAGTCTTGCTGGAAGGCAACAGGGGCTTGGTGGATGTAGCAACCTGCTGGTAGGCAGCAAAGTACTGCTGAATATAGACAACACAGAACCACCCCACCCGCTACACGCACACACACACGTCTGTGCCCAGGAAACTCCCTCTGAGTCACCATTTCCTATGGAATTGAGTGTTATTGTGCAAGCATTCAGGCCAGCTTGAGAGAGAAGGGTGTTTGTGGAGGCGTTCCTGCCTGGCATGAGTGGGACAACCACTCCCACTGTCCAACCATGTCTCTCTGTCCAACCACTCCCACTGTCCAACCATGTCCCTCTGTCCAACCACAGCATGGAACTAGAGACAGGACTCGTTAGTTCACTAGACCAACAGGTTGCCTATTGTTCTGGTGTCTGTCTGTAGGCTACACAACAGGCTTACAGCAGTAGCCTACAGAAGAAACTAGTTAGACTAGTTTCTGCTATGCAGTCCACCACTCTTCATAAACATCATTTACAAGGCAGGCAGGTATTATCCTAGTGTCTTTAGTCTACAGGTTTACAGTGTAGCCTACAGTAGAGTAGGTAGCATCAGTGAGGCACCATATATGGACTTCCTACCCCTAAAGTGTATGAATATGACTCATAACAAAGGAAACCCAGGGCCATACTATATGTATGAGCACACACACACACACACACACACACACACACATTTGTCCTGGGAAGCTTTTGAGCTCATATGTGCTGAGCGCCTCTTCTCTTTCAGTCTGGACAAAAGATGAGGAGGGAGGGCGTCACCATCAACACCATCACCAGTAGGCTAGGGCTAGGGCACCATACTGACCTGATTGGTGGGTTGAGTTTTGGGTTGGGTTCATTAGGACACACAGGAAAAATTTAAAACATTTTAAAAACGAAAATTAGCATTTCTTATTGGATGAGTCCATGTAGTCCCTCCTAATTTTTCAGTCTGTTTGCTGCCTAATGAACACAACCCTGATAGCAGTTTACAGGCTGACTCATCCAGGCCAGGACAGGGCCATTTGCCAAGCAAATCAATTATTCAATGCTCTGGATCAGATGTCCTCTAAGTTACTAAACATGCACCAGCAACAAAGGCCGGAACAGGAACAGGATAGGTCCGCTTATGCTTATACTACTTACTTGATACTTCCATCTCAATAGAGATACACGGTTTCTACTTCAATAGCTGTATTATGTTGGAGTGTACGGTAGGCCTGAACAGGGGTTTACTCACAGATTTAACTTTTCAAAAAGGGCGATATGCAATTTATTCTCCAATTACTACACTGGTGTGCAACATGAAACATACTGCATGCAGCAGTTCGATACTATATGGTATAGATATTTGATCGCACAGAGAAAAATGTCTGTATTGACTCCCCCAGAGCTATGAATGATCCATAGGGCTGATAATCAATAGATCATGAATATATTGATTGGGAGAGACCTTGCCCTTCTTCAACACACCCTGCTTCATCACTTCAACTGGATGACTTATCTTGGCATGACTTTGAGAGATACTTTTAGAGCTTGATGCAGAAGACACATTTCGGTTGAATGCATTCAGTGGTACAACTGACTAGGTATCCCCCTTTCCCTTTCTATGGAAATGAATGAACTCAATTTCGACAGTTGGAAATTGTGTGTGAGCTGTTTGATCATTGACAGTTATACAGTGAAGTTCGAAACACATTGCTGATTTAGTCTAACAATAATTCCCATAAAATATAACTTTGTAGCTGCTCAATTATGTAATAAGGATGACATTAAACATCAATCAAATACTTTATTCTGAATTTGAAGGAATACAAAAACAGACCCAAGACTGAACAGTTGTTGATGTTCTTGCCTAGGCTACTGAGTATGCTTTTCTATTTGACAGAGAGCTTCTGGGACTCGATGAAACGACAATCACAGCATTTGCAAAAGACAACCTAATCAGGCGGCGTTACAATGAGATAAACGGAGCGTGAAGAAGGCGAAACTTTGTAACTACTGTACTGTAGAACGCCAGAGGGCGGAATTATATAAAATGTTGCAATTTTTCAGATTCCCCCACTTGAGGGAGATGGACGATTTCCGTTGCGGATCACAGGCGATTTATTGCTGCAATTCGCATTATGGTTGGTCCATCAGACAGAGCGCGATGATGCAATATGTAAAAAATGCAGCTAATAACGAGCCATGGAATGGGCTAATTTGCCTCAAAATGGGATGTATTTTATTCAGTATCATATAGGAGTTGATACAACTAGATTGCCAATTAATAAAACGTGTTGAGACATATCTTACATGTGCCAAAAATGTCAGCAATAGCGTAGCTAAAAGGGCTTGTCAGCATTACCCCATATTTGCCAGTGCGCTTTCCTATTCCATCCAACACACTATAATCTGAAATGTAATCACTTTAGCTACAGAATTATGCTGTAATCATCTAGCAACTTGCTAGTTATCCCAATGCTATTAATCTGATTTTCGAATTAATTAAATCTGCACCGTGCAGCCTCGAGCCAGCAACATGCCCGGATATAGCCATCGAGCAAACTACTATGCCGTAAGAATTGCGCAGTTATCGCGGAATCCCGCTCCATTTTGTGTGTTTCATCCCGTTCATGTACACCTCAGCGGTTGCATAGCCCCAGAAAATGTTCCTCCAAATAGAATCAACTCGCCCTCTTAAAACTAAAGATTACATATCCCATGCAATTATATAACAGTTGCAAAATAACACCCTTTTTGATCACCCTAATTTAATTCCTGGTAAGATCAAATGCTGTAAACCTATATGAATGAATAGCAAAATAGTGGAATTCCCCATATCTTGACTCTCTTCCATTTCTCAATACATCGTGGCATTAAATGCATTGACACATTTCCTAAAAATGAATCAAAAATATAATACATACCATGTTTGATGGATCTGGGCTGATTGTCTATGAACCAGACAACGAGTGTGCTCGTTCCTTAGATGGAGTTTCCAGCGGGATGGAGGTGTGTCGCCGTGGTGGTGAGAATGGGGACTATGTATCCCTCCGCGACACTAGCCCAGCCTGTTCACTCACTTCCTTATTTCTCCAACCTCAAATACTGGCTAACCCAAGCCCCTCCCACTACAGGACGGAGACACGCCAATCACAGCACAGCTCTGCCTCTACCGTAGCATACTGTAGTGCAGCAGGCCTGGGTTGTATTCATTCCGCAGATTCTGTTGCAAAACGTGTCTTAAACGTAAGCAAACGCAACTAAACTGGGAGGGACCTACCTACATTTGTCCAATGGAAACTCTCGTTTTTCTGTTTGCTTCCATTTGGAAACAATTTCAGTAATGAATACTCCTCTACTGTGCACATCCCCCAATTCAATTATTATTTTTCCATAGGCACAGGAGGCTGCTGAGGGGAGGACGGCTCATAATAATGGCTGGAATGGAGTGAATGGAATGTGTTCGATACCATTCCATTGATTCCATTCCAGCCATTACTATGAGCCTGTCCTCCCCAATTAAGGTGCCACCAGCCACCTGTGTAGCATAGATAGATAGACAGTTCTCTCTGCTACCACACAGCAAGCGGTACCTGCATTGACACTTTTTGCACTAACTCGTTTGACTCATCACATACGCTGCTGCTACTGTTTATTATGTATCCTGTTACCTAGTGACATTATCCCTACCTACAGACAGTATATGTACATACAGTATGTACCTCAATTACCTCGTACCCCTGCACATCGACTCGGTAACTGGAATCCCATGTCTATAGCTACGTTATCATTACTCATTGTGTATTTATTCCTCATGTTATTTTTCTATTATTTCTATTTTTTTCTCTCTGCATTGTTGGGAAGGGCCCGTAAGTAAGCGTTTCACTGTTAGTCTACACCTGTTGTTTACGAAGCATGTGACAAATACATTTGATTTGATAGCAGGTGCAACTCTCCATACACTGGGTGCAACAACAGCCAAGAACATTATAAAAGTCACCAGGGTCATTGTAGATATGCCCTTTCATGTAATTTTTATTGTAGGCATATAAAATATAGGCACATCTCATCCAAGTCTACATAACCATTTAGCTATGAAGTTTTCCTTGAGTAATAGATACCTGTGCCCACATTGGTTGACGACCACTCAAGCATGAGGATAGATGATAGGGGAATCTCCAAACACCCTTTAGTGTCATATTGGTGCAAAATAATAATTTATCACACTACAGCAAATGTGTCAGTGAATAATAGAGACATTCTTTCCGCATTAGTATCATTATGACTATCTATGATACTGAATTTCGAAGGGCCATAAAATCAAACTAAACTTAGATCTCTATTCTAGCTGCACAGAACTTCTACATCGAACTATTTCACTGCAGCGGAAGGATACTACTGGTGTATAAAGACCATACCTGGTTGACGCTGGAGAATTTTGCAATGCTGGTATGTGACGCTGCCTCTGATTGGTTAGAGCAGACCCGCAATATTATACACTATGTATTGGGCGCAATTATTGGCTAGGTCGGATCTGCATTGCACCAGGCAGTAGCGCTTGATGGAAAACCCATAAATATAACAAAGTTAAAACAAATGCGATTTAGGGCCGTTGCTTGTCCAAACGGCACATTTTAATCCTGTAGATTTTGTTCTAGATGGATATGTAATTGTGGTTTACTGAAAGCTTTGGAAATGTTAGTATTTTGTGACAGAAGAGAGGATCTATCGGGCTGACAAGTGGTGCTGAGACTCGATGCTGGGAGGTGCAAGTATTTCCATTGGATGATATGCAACCTACTAGAAAGTATTTCTAAATGACGCGAAATTTAAGAATGGAGCATCGTTGCGGTGGTGTAAATAAATGTAATGGGGCAAAAGCTGCAACACTGCTCTCTATATTTTATTTTAACAGTTTTGCCTTCATAATAGACAGTATCAGTATGTTGAATTTGTTGCTTTTTTTGTAAATTCAACCCATAGCCTAGTGAGTTGATAAGGCTAAATATGAAATGTTTTCAAGGAAAGCTATTTTAAGGATTTATCATAGGTTACAGTAGTTTATAACTGTGGAAATGTTGTGTTCAATTGGTGAAAACAAATATCAGATTTTATGCGATATTCGTTGTCCAAGAAGTGTGACCAGCCTTATACTCATGTCCAGTTTATTTTGTCAGTGTGCTTATTATAAAAACACGCACCGTAGGCGCCACCTAGTGGGTAATGATGAGAATGCCTCTCCCTCTGGCCACAGAGAAATCCAGCTTCAAACCCAATCAGTTCCAGTCTGTCAGAACATTAATTAAAGTATTTGAATAATCTATGAAGTCTTTAAGAAGTCTCTGCCTGCAATGAAGGTTGTTAAAGTCACCCTCAAAACATTAGAAGTCAATAACAATGAAGAGAAGTCTCAGATATGTCCATGATCTTTGACTCCTCAGTTGACTACGAAATCACTGAAAGGTCAACCTCCATATCCGCCAATGACTCCACCCTGCAGTGGGCCTGTCAATCAAATGTCAGTTCAGTGGTAAAATTAGAATAAATATGTACCAGAACACAGAAACAAGGTTAGCCTTTATTATTCTACGACAGTCCCACATTACATAGGCTTTATTACACAGTAATAACCAGTAGTTATAACTATCCAGGCTAGACCTACACAACCAACAGTCTCTCATGCCTCCATGCATGGTGCGGCTCAGACATCCTCAACAGATATTATCCTTGGCAGGCCAAATGGCTCATTACAATTCGCCCCTCCTTCCTCTCCCCTCCTGCCCTGTCTCTCTGGCCCTACTACACGCTACGGTTGATTGAAATGTTTTTTACTGTTTGCTGAATGTGCTGCGATGTGCGCTGCATTGCAGTTCAACTGCATGACAGATTTAGTAAGTGGACAAGAGGGAGAGCGAGAGATCAGGGCTGCATGCGGCATTTTCACTCAATCCCAAACGAAGCTGCATGGGCTAGCGAGCGTTCTGCTTAGTATAAAGTTACACATGGCCCCACATCAAGAGGAATGCAATCAATGTTGTGCCTCTGCTCCACGTGTCAAATGAACTGCAGCTGCTCAACTGCACACAAACAGCGTATTCATTTCTGCTCTTCAGCTTACTGTACTGGAAAAGGGGTGATCGTAGGAGAACAACATTGAAATGAGGATTGGAAATGAATAGCTCCTGAGAAGGTCCTGAAGGATTCGGAGGGGCTGATTTGTTTCATAGTGTGTGTGCGCGCACGTGTATAACATATCTATTTCATATCAAAGTGATGTACTACACTCCCTATTAAAACAGAGAGAAGTGATGTGAGGGACTATTTAGATGTGTGTCCGGCTGACTGCTGTGGTGGCTCTGTATTATGCACATCCAAAACGACGTCGTGTGTGGGAGATACTGGAATATTCCTGTTATTAGTGGAGGTCTTCTTTTAAGTAAAGAGAAAGAGGGACACCAGATAGTAAGGAGAGATACATTAATTTCAGCATCAGGACATGAATTGCATCCCCCTCAGGCAATTTCTGTTATTCTGTCTTTGGAATCAGACAGATCTCTGCAACCAAGAGGAATAGCTACAAAATGATATCGCTTAAGTCTGACTGAAGGAACATGGCATCTGTGTAAACAGTATGTACAGTGTTAATGTTGTCTGAAGTCTGAATACTACTGGAAGACAGTGATTGAACTAACTGAATAATTAATGGGATTCATTTTCCGCAAAATGAACATATAAAGACTCTTACAGGGGCTAATGAACCAGTTATTAAACCCACAAGTGGATATGATGCAGACTGTATGCCAATGAACACTACTTGTACTCTAGCCTAGATTTCCAGGCTTCTCCAATGCAGACCAAACTTTAGGACAACTGACTACGTGACACTACCTATACTAAACAGAGCATGGAGGGAAATGAGAGTAATTATACATGGCACGATGAATAACAAGACTTCTCTCACATTCAAATTCTTGTATTTATTGTCAGAGTACATCAAGTTAAAGTAGACAACTGGAAGGGAAGCCAAATGTAACACGCAACAAAATATAGAAAACCTCTCACACCGCAGACAGGGGGTCAGGGGTTAAACGTCGGAGGTCGGGTTAGAGGTACAGGCCCTCCGGCGTGCCCTCCTGCTTCTTGTATAGCACGTTCTCCTTGGACTTCTTGAAGTCCTCGTTGGTGACCTTCATCCTGCGCTCTCTCAGGGCCATGAGGCCTGCCTCGGTGCAGATCGCCTGGAGGAGTGGGAGAGAGAGAGGAGAAAGGTCAACTCAGGTCAGCCTCAAAAGATCAGGGCCTGTATTCACAAATAGTCTCAGAGTAGTACTGATCTAGCATCAGTTTAGTCTTTTATATCATAATGAATAAGAATATATGGACATGGAAGACCTGATCCTAGACTTAATTGTCTCAGATCCATGACTTCAAGGAAGGAGGGAGGCATTCTGAAAATAGCAGAACAAGGCCCAGAAGTAGGAGAATCCTTTCAGGATATACTTTCAAACAATAACAAGAACTGCCACTAGAGGGCAGCACAGTCAAGTCAAATATACTAACTCTGGTTTAGCTAGAGCCAATTTGAGAGTCATGTTTTCCCTAGAGCGGTTGCAAACATCCCTAAAGCCACACCCCTAAAGCAATTGAAACCCATGGAGGCCAATTATTTGTGGGCAGGCACGGGGCAACAGTGCTAGATAGGGGGACTACCCCCACCTTAGTAGTGGTAGAGCAGTGGTTTTTAAACTTTTTTTGGTAACTGTATCGCCATGGCCTATGCTCTTATGAGTCTTCCCAAGGACCATGCAGATAGGCCATGTACCCAGGTTGAGGACCACTGTGGTAGAGGAAACCCTGGACATCCATACCTTGATGTCAGCTCCTGACAGGTCATCCTTGGCCAGGATTAGGTCGTCCAGGGTGACGTCGTCGGCTACGGTCATCCTGCTGGTGTGGATGTTGAAGATCCTCCTCTTGGTCTTCTCATCAGGCAGAGGGAACTCTATCTTTCTGTCAATACGACCTGGAAAAACATAAGTAAAGGGGGTAAGGGGCATGGAATATCAGAGAGGGAATGGCTGTTCAGTTCTACTCATTCTGATTCTAGAACAGAATACTTATTGACATTGACTCAACAGTGTGGGAAGAAAAAGGCTGCTTTGCTCAAATGGCTTCAGTGAATTTTGTTGCTTTTGATTTGATTCTTGTAAAGTGTTTTGAGAGCTTCATCTGTTGTTCGCTCAAGGTCAAGAGATCAGTTCCACAGATGGAGCTCAGAAGGAGGAAATTCAATTTGTCTTCATTTTATAGTAGAATCTTGATCCTCAATATACACTTCAACTGAGGTCGTTTTATCCCTTTGTAAGAGTCCCGCTCTACCGGTCAATTTTAATATCAATAATCAAAATACAAAACCGGCTCCATCTTTCAGATAGATACTCAGGAGAGTGTCTTACCAGGTCTGATGAGTGCCGGGTCCAGGGTATCTATCCTGTTGGTGGCCATGATCACCTTGACATCTCCTCTGGAGTCAAAACCATCCAGCTGGTTGAGCAGCTCCAACATGGTCCTCTGGATCTCCCTCTCTCCTCCAGAGTTAGACTCATATCTACACAGGGAGAGAAACACACCGTTTAGTCACATCTCAAGGGCAGAGAAACAGTACTCGGCACAATCCCAAAATCAACCCGTCAGATCCTATGCTCTATGTAATTGTGAATATCTACGTGGATTTGGTTGGTATAAGCAAAATTGTTAAACTTTCACCAAGCTTATCAGAGGGCAAGGTGGAGCTTTTAAACAAACTTGCTATGCCTATTTCTATTATTAAAGCTGCAATCTGTCACTTTTTGGGCGACCCGACCAAATTCACATAGAAAGGTGTGTTATAGATCTGTCATTCTCAGTGAAAGTAAGTCTAAGACGCGGTAGATCTGTTCTATGTGCGCCATTTCTATGCTCCCCGTTCTTAAGTTGTTGTTGTTGTTCTTTTACTTGCAGTTTTGTACACCAGCTTTAAACAGCTGAAAATACAATATTTTTGGTTATGGAAAATACATTTCACAGCCGTTTAGATGATACAGTGATTATCTACACTATACATGCTTGTTTTGTCACATAAACTGAAATTAGGTGAACTACTAGAATTTTAGCAACCAGGAAATGGCGGAGCGATTTCTGCATAGTGCAACTTTACAGGCCCAGTGCAGTCCAAATTCAGTTTTTCCAGCTGATAAAACAAAAAGTGTGAAAAAATGTGATCAGTGTTATTTCCTGATAGTTACTGGTTGAAAATACAATCTACACAGGACGTTCTAATCAGCAGGTTTTAAATGGGTGGAGTTCCGGATTGCCTGGTGACATCACCAGGCAGTATATTAATTAATAGACCAATAACAAAGAGTTCCAAACCTCTCTAATTTCCAGTTTTCCCCTCCCCACTCAGACCACTCCCAAACAGTCCTAGCAAAATTCTTGCTTGAGAAATAGTTTTTGAGCCAACCACTATTACAGTAAGGTACTTAATTGTTTAGCAGAAATGATTTGATATTGATATAAAAACTGCTCAATTGGGCCTTTAAGTGGCATATTTTAAGAATGTTGTTTTAGTAAGTACCGTTTAGTGCCGATGGCATCTATCTCGTCGATAAAGACGATAGACGGTGCGTGTTCCTCGGCCACCCTGAACAGCTCTCGGACCAGCTTGGGCCCGTCTCCCAGGTACTTCTGGATCAGCTCTGAGCCCACTACACGCAGAAACGTAGCTGACGTCTGGTTGGCCACCGCCTTGGCCAGCAGGGTCTTACCTAACACACAGAGAGAGGCACAGGAACACAAACATATTAGCAGAGACACACAAACAGGCACAGATATGCACACAAACAAACAAACATGCACGAACCGCACGCATATTAGGTAATATGGTCCTCTGTAGCGCAGTTGGTAGGATAGTGGGTTCGATTCCCAGGACCACCCATACTTAAAATGTATGCACGCATGACTGTAAGTCGCTTAAAGTGTCTGCTAAATAGCATATATTATTATATTATGATAGTTATTATATTGTAATATGATTTCAATGTATGTTTCCCTGTCCATACTGCTTGTTGCTAGGCATGTCTCAGGGATCATGTAGATTGTTTTGATGTTTCTTATGATGTATTCATGGTTTTGTATGTTTCTTGGTATGCACACACTGTTGTGAGCTCAACTTTGGAAATAATTTCCTCTTGAATGACCAGCAACATCTTTGTGTAGATAAATGTTAATTGTTAAACGATTCATGTTAAATGTCCATATATCTCACCAGTGCCAGGTGCTCCGTAGAGGATGACTCCTTTAGGGGGCTTGATGCCCATCTCCTCATAGTACTCAGGGTGGGTGAGGGGCAGCTCCACTGACTCCTATAGAACAACAGTGTCACAGCCAGATGCAGACTGAATTACTTGAGGAAAACAGTCCTAATGTTGGAAGAAACAGCCTTATGTTGTCACCCAGTCACATTTGTTCATTTCGCAAGCTATAGCACACAATATTTTACATAAAGTAGGTTTTTAAAGGCCCATAGAGTTCGGTATGCGTCGTGTTTTATTTTTACCAAGGAAAATCTGGTATTGCAGTATCGCGATACTGGTATCGTGACATACGTACAGTGAATGGCTACAGGCTTAGTCCAGAGAGTCTAGTATAGGCTGGTACATACTGTGGTACTCATCTCATTTCTGATCAAATACTTAATAACAGCAGGTAATTACTAAGCAGTTACAAGGTATAACGTTTAGTGTAGTCCTCTTCTTGTACCTTGATCTCCTGTATCTGGCTGTCCAGTCCTCCTATGTCAGCATAGGTCTCTTGAGGGGCCTTCTCCACCTTCATCACTGTGACCAGGGGATCAGTGTCATCCATCAGGACACCAATCACAGCATGAACCTAGAGGACAGACACCGATCAGAGAACAGGGACAGAGTCAGTCAACGTCACTCACTACTCAACCCAAACATTAATATTAGAAATAGTTTGTCCCCCCCCAAACTAATGAAATTAGCCTTTGGCTTGACACAATGACAATGTCAAATATTATATTTACATTTTAGTCATTTAGCAGATGCTCTTATCCAGAGCAACTTACATTTAGTGCATTAAACCTATGACCTTTTCACACTATTGTGCCCACCGAACCCAAACCATACTGACTCAGATATTTTTTTCACATTGTCCTTTTCAGTACGGTTCCAGCAACTATGCTGGATGCATAACCACCAGCCCAGTACAGCTCGGTTTGGCTTGGCTCAGTAGTGTGAAAAGCCCTATAAAATAGGTATTTGAGTACCTTGTGGTTGAGTAGTATAGAGCAGATAAAGGTAACTTCCAAAATAAAGGAAACACTTGAGTAAATGAAGGATACAAATTATATTGAAAGCAGGTGATTCCACACAGGTGTAGTTCCTAAGTTAATTAAGCAATTCATATCCCATCATGCTTAGATTCTGGAGCGGTGCCTGAGACAGTGTTTTCCACCAACATCAACAAAACACCAAATGATGGAATTTCTTGTGGAAGAATGGTGTTGCATCCCTCCGATAGAGTTCCAGACACACTTTCTGTTGAGTAGTACGAAGCAGCTATATGTCAGTACCCTGTGGTTGAATAGTACATAGTTCTGAGCGATTAACCAACATTTCTGTTATTTTTCGGTAAAAAACAACAACGAATTGACCGAAGTCGGTTCAATTATTTGAATTCCATTTCGTTCAGTTTTTTTCTGTGAGTTTAAATGCGCACATTGCACAGTTTCTCTAGAGATGAATCAGATCAAGCTCGAACTGTGCGATGTAATAAGGAGTTGTATTTTCCAACAGGCCAATATTCTACATAGTTTAGCGCAGAAAAAATCCATTGTGTGCCTACTAGTCCGGTCTGTGTGTTTCTTTTACGCCTGCTACGTTAGGTTAGTGTGGGGCAAATACAGATGCAGAGAGAGAGAGAGAAAAGACAAGAATGCGCGATCGAGAGGGATAGAGAGCAGTTGCTTCGCGAGGTATCTCTACTTGAAAATACATGATCTAAGTGATTGATAGTTGACCGTCAGCAGTCATAAAGGTATGCCTTATTTACTTTGAAGAACTACTAAAATTGTGATTTTTTCAGACAGCGTATTTTTTATTTATTTTACCTTTATTTAACCAGGTAAGCCAGTTGAGAACAAGTTCTCATTTACAACTGCGACCTGGCCAAGATAAAGCAAAGCAGCGCGATAAAAACAACAACACAGAGTTACATATGGGGTAAACAAAACAAAGTCAAAAATACAACAGAAAATATATATATATACAGTGTGTGCAAATGTAGCAAGTTATGGAGGTAAGGCAATAAATAGGCCATAGTGCAAAATAATTACAATTTAGTATTAACCCTGGAATGATAGATGTGCAAGAGATGATGCGCAAATAGAGATACTGGGGTGCAAATGAGCAAAATAAATAACAATATGGGGATGAGGTAGTTGGGTGGGTTAATTTCAGATGGGCTGTGTACAGGTGCAGTGATCGGTAAGGTGCTCTGACAACTGATGCTTAAAGTTAGTGAGGGAGATAAGAGTCTCCAGCTTCAGAGATTTTTGCAGTTCGTTCCAGTCATTGGCAGCAGAGAACTGGAAGGAATGGCGGCCAAAGGAGGTGTTGGCTTTGGGGATGACCAGTGAGATATACCTGCTGGAGCGCATACTACGGGTGGGTGTTGCTTTGGTGACCAATGAGCTAAGATAAGGCGGGGATTTGCCTAGCAGTGATTTATAGATGACCTGGAGCCAGTGGGTTTGGCGACGAATATGTAGTGAGGACCAGCCAACAAGAGCGTACAGGTCACAGTGGTGTGGTCCTCTGTAGCTCAATTGGTAGAGCATGGCGCTTGTAATGCCAGGGTAGTGGGTTCGATCCCCTGGACCACCCATACGTAAAGATGTATGCACACATGACTGTAAGTCGCTTTGGATAAAAGCGTCTGCTAAATGGCATATTATTATTATTATTATAATATATGGGGCTTTGGTGACAAAACGGAAGGCACTGTGATAGACTACATCCAATTTGCTGAGTAGAGTGTTGGAGGCTATTTTGTAAATGACATCGCCGAAGTCAAGGATCGGTAGGATAGTCCGTTTTACGAGGGCATGTTTGGCAGCATGAGCGAAGGAGGCTTTGTTGCGAAATAGGAAGCCGATTCTAGATTTAACTTTAGATTGGAGATGCTTAATGTGAGTCTGGAAGGAGAGTTTACAGTCTAACCAGACACCTAGGTATTTGTAGTTGTCCACATATTCTAGGTCAGACCCGCCGAGAGTAGTGATTCTAGTCGGGTGGGCGGGTGAAGAGGCAGCAGCTCTATAGAGATGAGATGATGACTTGGAATTACATAATAAAGTTGTCAAATAAAACGAATGTAATATACACAACAACTGAAATATACTTGTTTAAGTAATGTGAATAAATTAGGGTTAATAAGTGATAAGCAGTAATGTGGCAGTCACTACCATCGTGGGACTTGTACTAATTGTTTTATTCTGTGTTGTTACAGCATTCAACCCACATAATGCATAGTGCATTTAATGTACAAAAATAAATACATCGAAACCAAAAACCTGTGGTTGAGTAGTATGGAGCAGATATACACTGAGTATATCAAACATTAGGAACACATTCCTAATATTGAGTTGCACCCCCTTTTGCCCTCAGAACAGCCTCATTTCTTCAGGGCATTACCTTTACAAGGTGTCGAAAGCATTCCACAGGGATGCTGACCCATGTTGACTCCAATGCTTCCCAAAGTTGTGTCAAGTTGGCTGGATGTCCTTTGGGTGGTGGACCATTCTTGATACACACGGGAAACCGTTGAGTGTGAAAAACCCAGCAGCGTTGCAGTTCTTGACACAAACCAATGCGCCTGGAACCTACTACCATAGCCTGTTCAAAGGCACATAAATATTTTGTCTTGCCCATTCACCCTCTAAATGGCACACAAACACAATCCATGTCTCAATTGTCTCAAGGCTTAAAAATCTCTCTTTAACCTGTCTCCTCCCCTTAATCTACACTGATTGAAGTGGATTTAACAAGTGACATCAATAAGGGATCATAGCTTTAACCTGGATTCAGTCAGAGGAAGGCCCTCAAAATTGTCAAAGACTCCAGCCACCCTAGTCATAGACTGTTCTCTCTGCTACCGCACGGCAAGCGGTACCGGAGTGCCAAGTCTAGGTCCAAAAGACTTCTCAACAGCTTCTACCCCCAAGCCATAAGACTCCTGAACAGCTAATCATGGCTACCCGGACTATTTGCACTGCCCCCCCACCCCATCCTTTTTACGCTGCTGCTACTCTGTTAATTATTTATGCATAGTCACTTTAACTCTGCCCACATGTACATATTACTTCAACTACCTCAACTAGCCGGTGCCCCCGCACATTGACTCTGCACCGGTACCCCACTGTATATATAGCCTCCCTACTGTTATTTTATTTTACTTCTGCTCTTTTTTTCTCAACACTTTTTTTGTTGTTGTTTTATTTTTACTTTTTTTGTTAAAAATAAATGCACTGTTGGTTAAGGGCTGTAAGTAAGCATTTCACTGTAATGTCTGCACCTGTTGTATTCGGCGCATGTGACCAATAAAATTTTATTTTATTTTATTTGATTCACCTGGTCAGTCTATGACATGAAAAGAGTAGATGTTCTTAATGTTTTGTAAACTCAGTGTATGTTAATACTTTGTGATTGAGTAGTACGGAGCAGATATACACTGAAGAAAATGATGAACGCAACATGTAAAGTGTTGGTCTCAAGTCTCATAAGCTGAAATACGAGATCCCCGAAATGTTCCATATGCAAAGAAAATTGCAAAAAAAATATGCACAAATTTGTTTACATCCCTGTTAGTGAGCATTTCTCCTTTGCCAAAACAATCCATCCACCTGATAGGTGTGGCATAGCAAGAAGCTGATTAAACAGCATGATCATTACAAAGTTGTGCTGGTGACAATAAAAGGCCACTCTAAAATGTGCAGTTTTGTCACACAACACAATGCCACAGATGTCTCAAGTTCTGAGGAAGCGTGCAATTGGCATTCTGACTGCAGGAATGTCCACCAGAGCGGTTGCCAGAGAATTGAATGTTCTCTACCATAAGCCGCCTCCAACGTCGTTTTAGAGAATTTGGCAGTATGTCCAACTGGCCTCACAACCGGCCTCACAAAAGCGGTTTGCTGATGTCAACGTTGTGACCAGAGTGCCCCATGGTGGTGGTGGGGTTATGGTATGGGCAGACATAAGCTACGGACAACGAACACAATTGCATTTTATTGATAGCAATTTCAATTCACAGACATACTGTGACGAGATCCTGAGGCCCATTGTCGTGCCACTCATGATTTCCTTATACAGTATGAACTGTAACTCAGTAAAATCTTGGAAATTGTTGCATGTTGCCTTTATATTTTTGTTCAGTATACGTCAGTACCTTGTGGTTGAGTAGTACGGAGCAGAAATATGTCAGTACCTTGTGGTTGAGTAGTACGGAGCAGCCCGGCTCCAGCAGGTCTTTGTCTACGAAGGAGAGGATGCTGACGTAGTGCTCAGATCCCACTGACGTAGACACGATGGCATGGTTGTCATCGATGATCTCCTCCAGGTTCCCCACAGACATGGGGGTTCCCCTCAGGTCATCCACCTTGGACCTCTCCTCCTGCAGAAGAACACACAGGAAATACATGTTACACACAATAACTTTATTAATTGAATTTCCATGGCATATGGCTTACATCATTTTCATGCTCATGAACTCATTTCAGTGACCACTCGTGCCCTGTGGATGGGGGCATTGCCATGGTAGCCAAACTAATGGCCTGCCCAGCATTTGTATACATGATCCTAAGCATGATGGGATATTAATTTGCTTAATTAACTCAGGAACCACATCTGTGTGGAAGCACTTGCTTTCAATACACTTTTTATCCCTCATTTACTCAAGTGTTTCCTTGGTTTTGTCAGTTACCTGTATCTCGATGGTCTACTCAGTACCGCCTGTTTCTCCTCCTGGGGTTTCATCTGGTTCCTGATAAACTAAAGTAATATAGCATTATATATAATATAGTATTATATATCTCTATGTTCAGTACCTCCTGTTTCTCTTCCAGGGGTTTCATCTGCTCCTGGTTCCTGATAAACTCCTCCTCCATCAGCAGGTAGTCTTTGATCCTCTCCTGCTTCAGCAGCTTCAGCCTGCAGTGGGTGTGAGGGGTGACTGCAGAGGGAGATACAATCCGTTATCAATATTGTTTTTCTTGACAAGAGGGTGAGTGAGAAATGACATAGCTAGAGAGTTAGGAATGACGTAGAGACAGAAACTAGATATTGAGTTGATGGGTCATTTTTAAAGAGAGATCCTTTTTCCTAAGTGAGGTGACATTAATAGCGTTACCTAAAGGTAGCTTGCTGGCCGCATCTGGTCCCTTGCTTTTCTTCTTCCTCTTCCCAACTCTGGTGGGGATGGGAGGCTCATACTTCTTCTTCTTATCCTGTAAATATATGATATGGTTACATGTTTAGTGACAGTAGAATAAAGCAGGTTAACACAGAAATCTGAAAGATCCAACTGAGGAGATACTGTTGTCAGAAGCTCTGGTTGTTGCCATGTCATTCTCACCTTGTCATCCTTCTTGCCTCCTCCTTGGCCCCCACTCTGGCTTTGACCCTGAAATTATAAACCCACACATTAGCTAAGTTAGCTAGCTAGATATCCTGATTAACCTTGAACAAAACTTAGTGTTGGTAGATTTTATTGGCTAACTAGCTAGTTAAGCTTGCTTGCTAACGTTAGCTAATTCGTATTAGGTTGACAGTCTATTTGAGTTGACCGGACTCAACATTGAGTACTAAATGCTCAGAGTAACATTAGGATGATGAAGTTAGTAATCGCAGCTATTTATTTCATGATCGGGGTATCAGCATGAAAGCTAGCTGCCGCTACCGGAAAAAACAACGCTGTAACGTTATTCAATGGAAGAGCTACTGTACTGTTAGCTAGCTAACGTAACGCTAAATTTATCTGACAATAATTATGGTTTTATACAGCGAATGTGTTTCGAAAATGTAACAACTACATCAAATCTTATTTTCCGTATAAAGTAAACTTCCACATCTCTAATATCAAGCTACACAAATTGGAAGCTAAATCCTTGTATTATTTAATCAAAACATGAGCCAGACAGAAATTTGATTGCTCACTTACCATTGTTGCTTGGCCCTCTAAATTGACGTCACTACGGTAAGCAATGTGGGACGCTTTCTTTTCTTTACAAAAAAAGACGAGGCCTCGTAATTCTTCTTCTTCTTCCTCTTCTTCTTCCTCTTCTTCTTCTTCTTCTTCTTCTTCGTCTTCTTCTTATTCTTCTTCAATGAGGTTTAACGGCGGTTGGCATCCAATTTGTTGCATTACCGCCACCTGCTAGACTGGAGTTCAACTCCCTTATCTTTCCTTGAAAAATAAAATAAACCAAAGCAAAGAAATATCCTACCATCTAACACTACACTCACACCTTCAACACTACAACTAATAATTAACCCCACCCTTCTCCACTGTTTAAATACACTCACTCCTACCTCATGCCCTCAACCTGAATTGATGAAACATCACCACTTAACACTCCCAGTAACTCTTCTGCTGTCAAGTCTTCCACACCCAAATATCTCTCTGCAGCTGCCACCACCACCTCAATTTTCTTTGATTTGCGTTCCATCCCTGCAGTACAATTAATAACCATTGCTATAAACGCTAAAAATCCAATCTTGCTGAACCATATATCACTTTTTGGTTTATCCCTCTGTACTGGTACATCTCTACTACTCACACCATTTCTCTCAGGATCCCTCCCCCTTGACCCATCTTCCTCTACTTTCTTCACTGCCTCCGCATATGACAACTTCTTCTCTACTCTTACCTTGGATACCTCAACCTGCTTCTCTCACACTGGACATGTCTGATCCCCAGCCCCATGGCCACCCCTACAATTAGCACATACCACCACTTTCCCCACTGCTTCACACTCCTTAGTCTCATGCCCTTCTGCACACTTCTCACACCTTGGAATCTCCCTCCTACACACTGCTGCCACATGCCCATAAGTTTGACACCTGTAACATCTTAAGGTATTCGGCACATATGCTCACACTGGATAACTTATATATCCTAACCTCACTTTCTCAGGCAAAGACTCAACTTCAAAACTCAAAAGAACAGACAATGACTCTTCTGTTTCCCCACTCTCGCCACCCTGTTTACGTCACACCAAACGACGAGCATCACACACACCGGGAATCATCTCCTTCAGTTGGTCAACTTTTACATTCACTGCTACTCCAGTAATCACTCCTCTCAATGGCGCCCTTTTCTTAAGAGCGAAACAATTCACAATTCTTTCCCCCATTTGTTTAACTCTAAGCGCCTTCTCCCTCTGACCAACAGAAACACAAACAATTATCACTAGACCACTTCTGGTTACCCTCACCGATTCCATTTTACCCAACGCTCTTTTCACCCATCTTGAAACCACAATTGGATCAGCCAAAAGGCAAGGATAATTTTTTTTCACAAACTTCACTCCTGCTGTCACAGACTCATCTTTATCCTGACCCACTGTGCAATCCTCGGGCTCAGAGTACTTCACCACACCTTCCACCTCCAATACATCACCCTCATTCACTTCCATTTCTACTCCTGTCTTCAGCTCACTTTGCTTACATTTCCTACCATTCTTCTTTAACAAACCTTCTCCCTTTTTCCCGCCATTTTTTTACCGACTCAAACTCACAATCTTCCTCCCTCTCTCTCTTAGACCTCCTCTGCCTCTCTTTTTCCCTCCATTCCTCCTCATTCATCTAAGTATATGTCTCCTTATGATAATACTGCATTTCTCCAAACCTGTATCTGTTTCTTGCCTTCTCTAAGGACTCCATTTTCCCCCTCCTTTCCATTCCGGCGTCTATTCTATCCTCGGCCTTGACATCTTCATTGCTCTCCTCTTCTGATCCGCTGTCCTCCTCTCCTGAATCACCATCGTCTTCCGATCCCTCATCCGAGCTGTTATCCTCACTATCATCAGGACTTACTCCCTTTCCAACTGCTCGTCTTTTCGCTGAAGACGCCATGCTCCACCCCTCAGTCGGTCAATACCTTCCCACCTCAATCGGTCCCTACTGTTGCGTGTCAACCAATCCCTGGTTCATTTTCATTGCCATGTTTCCCGGTGCCGATGAGGCCTCGTTGACCTACAAGTCTACTCTCATAAGGTACATTTGTCACAGAAATATAAAATATGAGCAATTCAGGTGTCATACAATAGCAAGACTCATACAACTAAATAGCTGGTAATTTAGTGGATGGGCCATATTAGCTTTGCTTTGGAGAAATGGCAGAAGCAAATGTACAATAGAGCTTGAATCTAATGGCGGTAGAATCGAGGAAGATTGGATTTTTGTCCGAAAGAATGGAAAACGGAGCAAAGTTCTGGTGTAATACAAAAACTAAAGTTCTGCTAATATCCCCTCTTATCTGGTAGGAGTATGTATTTTTGAAGATGAACAGAGCGAAATACCAAACTTGACGAATCTGTTTGGGATATTGTTATGAGAATTATTTAACAAACTATTTTGTCTCTGTGCGTCTCCTAAAAGGTTGTAAGGCTTTTGGCTCAAGAAACGGACAGAGTCCCGGTCTGCATAGTCAGGTCTTTATTCATGGAGAATTCTGCCACAAAATGGTCGTACAATATTTTATATGCACACGTCAAACAACAATCCCACCCCTCTGTAGGCGGGCTGTAGTTTTCCACTTTAAAACTGCTCTCCTGACCATCAGTTCTCACACACACACACACATACACACACACACACACACACACACACACACACACACACACACACACACATACATACACACACATATACACACATACATACACACACAGTTGTATTGAGGGAAGAGCTCTAGAAGTGACCTGTGGACTTGCCACTCTAGCTGGAGGTAAGCAGGAGGTAAGCTTCTCATATGGTGTTGAGTAAAGCTTAACCATGTATTAGATCGTAGGTAGGTAGTTAGTTGTAGTTAGGTATTGTATTTATCATAGGTTAGTATTGTTGTTATTGTAGGTTTCCGTAGGTAATAGTAGGTTAGTATCGAAGCACGAGGCTAGCTAGCTAGCGGGTAGCTACTGGTAACGATTAGCAACGGTGGAGAGCTGTTTCCAATGTTAATGTGCTGCTAGCCAACGTTTAATTTTTTGCTGCGTTATGCGTTATGAAAGGAACTAGACACGGACATGAATTATCTGTTTAGTGTGCTAACACACTCTTGGCAGTTTGTTGTAACCAAGTATTGGTGCTAAATTGTGTGTTAATGGATGCTAGCTTGCTAGTTAGCTACGGCGTCATAGCTAGGCATCGTGGGTTGTTGTGGTTAGTTACTGTAGGTTGGCAGTGTCTTCGGCCGTGCCGGCTGTAGCACGAAGCGAGCTAACTAGCTGTTTTTTCGAACAGAGTCAGAGTCAACACAGTAGCCATTGTGTGCCGGGGGTAGCACGAAGCTAGCTAGCTAGCCGTTCTTCAAACAAAGTCAACACAGTGGCCATTGCTAGCTACCCAACACGACCAGCTAACTGTACTGTAGTAGCTAAATACAATATACTTGTCCTAGCTAGCCAACGTTTAATCATTGCTGCGTCATGAAAGGAACTTGACACAGACACGAATGATCTGTTTAGTGTGTTATCACACTATTGGTGTGTCTTGGCAGTGTCTTCGGCCGTGCCGGCTGTTCGAACAGAGTCAGAGTCAACACAATAGCCATTGTGTGCCGGGTGTAGCACGAAGCTAGCTAGCTAGCCGTTCTTCAAACAAAGTCAACACAGTGGCCATTGCTAGCTACCCAACACGACCAGCTAACTGTACGGTAGTAGCCAAATACAATATACTTGTCCTAGCTAGCCAACGTTTAATCATTGCTGCGTCATGAAAGGAACTTGACACAGACACGAATGATCTGTTTAGTGTGTTATCACACTATTGGTGGTTTGTTGTGACCAAGTGTTGGTGCTAAGCGGTGTGTTATTGTTATTGGATGCTAGCTTGCTAGTTAGCTATGGTGTCATAGTTAGCTAGCTGAATAAAGTGGGTTGAGTCTATTCCTTTAAACATTGAACCGCTGTGGTTCACAACAATTCTGATTTCTAAAGGTGGAAGTTGGGAGAGTTTTTGTTCGGGTGGTTCAGTGAAACAATTTTAGTTTCTGAGGTAGAAGTTTTTGGTGAGGGAGGCCCTGCTCTCTCCTCTCCCAGATGCTTAGCTCATTTCATTCCGATCTCCTCTGCATTTTTGTAGCCATTTGCTACAGCCTGTCAACTATGCCTCTGCCTATCCCTGTTCTCTCCTCTCTGCACAGGCTACACAAACGCACCACACCGCGTGGCTGCTGCCTCTCTAACCTGGTGGTCCCTGCACGCACCCCACACCTGGAGTTCCAGGTCGCAGGCAGCCTCTGGAACTGCCGTTCTGCTGCCAACAAAGCTGACTTCATCCCAGCCTATGCCAACCTCCAGTCCCTCGACTTCCTGGCGCTGACGGAAACATGGATCACCACTGAAAACACTGCTACTCCTACTGCTCTCCTCCTCGTCTGACCATGTGTTCTCGCATACCCCGAGAGCATCTGGTCAGAGGGGTGGTGGTACAGGAATCCTCATCTCTCCCAAGTGGACATTCTCAATTTTTCCCCTAACCCATCTGTCTATCTCCTCATTTGAATTCCATGCTGTCACAGTCACTAGCCCATTTAAGCTTAATATCCTTGTCATCTATCGCCCTCCAGGTTCCCTTGGAGAGTTCATCAATGAGCTTGACGCCTTGATAAGTTCCTTCCCTGAGGATGGCTCACCCCTCACAGTTTTGGGGGATTTCAACCTCCCTATGTCCACATTTGACTCATTTCTCTCTGCCTCCTTCTTTCCACTCCTCTCCTCTTTTGACCTCACCCTCTCACCGTCCCCCTCTACTCACAAGGCAGGCAATACGCTTGACCTCATCTTCACTAGATGCTGCTCCTCTACTAATCTCACTGCAACTCCCCTCCATGTCTCCGACCACTACTTTGTTTCCTTTTCTCTCTCGCTCTCCTCCCACACTACTCACTCTGCCCCTACACAGATGGTAATGCGCCGCCGCAACCTTCGCTCTCTCTCTCCCACTACTCTCTCCTCTTCCATCCTATCATCTCTTCCCTCTGCTCAATCCTTCTCCCTCCAATCTCCTGATTCTGCCTCCTCAACCCTCCTCTCCTCCCTTTCTGCATCCTTTGACTCTCTGTGTCCCCTATCCTCCCGGCCGGCTCGGTCCTCCCCTCCAGCTCCGTGGCTTGATGACTCATTGCGAGCTCACAGAACAGAGCTCCGGGCAGCGGAGCGGAAATGGAAGAAAACTAAACTCCCTGCCGACCTGGCATCTTTTCACTCCCTCCTCTCTACATTTTCTTCATCTGTTTCTGCTGCTAAGGCCACCTTCTACCACTCTAAATTCCAAGCATCTGCCTCTAACCCTAGGAAGCTCTTTGCCACATTTTCCTCCCTCCTGAATCCTCCCCCCCCCCCCCCCCCCCCCCCCCCTCCTCTCTCTCTGTGGATGACTTCGTCAACCACTTTGAAAAGAAGGTTGACGACATCCGATCCTCATTTGTTAAGTCTAATGACACTGCTGGTCCTGCTCACACTGCCCTACCCTATGCTTTGACTTCTTTCTCCCCTCTCTCTCCAGATAAAATCCTGCGACTTGTGACTGCAGGCCGCCCAACAACCTGCCCGCTTGACCCCATCCCCTCCTCCCTTCTCCAGACCATCTCCGGTGACCTTCTCCCCTACCTCACCTCGCTGATCAACTCATCCTTGACCGCTGGCCATGTCCCTTCCGTCTTCAAGAGAGCGAGAGTTGCTCCCCTTCTCAAAAAACCAACACTCGACCCCACTGATGTCAACAACTACAGACCAGTATCCCTTCTTTCTTTTCTTACCAAAACTATTGAGCATGCCGTCTTTAGCCAACTCTCTTGCTATCTCTCTCAGAATGACCTTCTTGATCCAAACCAATCAGGTTTCAGGACTGGTCATTCAACTGAGACTGCTCTTCTCTGTGTCACGGAGACTCTCCGCACTGCTAAAGCTAACTCTCTCTCCTCTGCTCTTGTCCTTCTAGACCTGTCTGCTGCCTTTGATACTGTGAACCATCAGATCCTCCTCTCCACCCTCTCCGAGCTGGGCATCTCCGGCGCGGCTCACTCCTGGATTGCGTCCTACCTGACCGGTCGCTCCTACCAAGTGGCGAGAAGCTGTCTCCGCACCACGTGCTCTCACCACTGGTGTCCCCCAGGGCTCAGTTCTAGGCCCTCTCCTTTTCTCCCTATACACCAAGTCACTTGGCTCTGTCATATCCTCACATGGCCTTTCCTATCATTGCTACGCTGACGATACACAACTAATCTTCTCCTTTCCCCCTTCTGATAACCAGGTGGCGAATCGCATCTCTGCATGTCTGGCAGACATATCAGTATGGATGACGGATCACCACCTCAAGCTGAACCCTGGCAAGACGGAGCTGCTCTTCCTCCCGGGGAAGGACTGCCCATTCCATGATCTCGCCATCACGGTTGACAACTCCGCTGTGTCCTCCTCCCAGAGTGCGAAGAGCCTAGGCGTGACCCTGGACAACACCCTGTCGTTCTCCGCCAACATCAAGGCGGTGACCCGCTCCTGCAGGTTCATGCTCTACAACATTCGGAGAGTACGACCCTGCCTTACACAGGAAGCGGCACAGGTCCTAATCCAGGCACTTGTCATCTCCCGGCTGGACTACTGCAACTCGCTGTTGGCTGGCCTCCCTGCCTGTGCCATTAAACCCCTACAACTCATCCAGAATGCCGCAGCCCGTCTGGTGTTCAACCTTCCCAAGTTCTCTCACGTCACCCCCCTCCTCCGCACACTCCACTGGCTTCCAGTTGAAGCTCGCATCCGCTACAAGACCATGGTGCTTGCCTATGGAGCAGTGAGGGGAACGGCACCTCTGTACCTTCAGGCTCTGATCAGTCCCTACACCCAAACGAGGGCATTGCGTTCATCCACCTCTGGCCTGCTGGCTCCCCTTCCTCTGCGGAAGCATAGTTCCCGCTCAGCCCAGTCAAAACTGTTCGCTGCTCTGGCACCCCAATGGTGGAACAAGCTCCCTCACGACGCCAGGACAGCGGAGTCACTCACCACCTTCCGGAGACATTTGAAACCCCACCTCTTTAAGGAATACCTGGGATAGGATAAAGTAATCCTTCTACCCCCCCCCCCCCCCCCCCCCAAATTGTAAAGTGGTTATCCCACTGGCTATAGGGTGAACGCACCAATTTGTGAGTCGCTCTGGCTAAGAGCGTCTGCTAAATGACGTTAATGTGCCCTTGAGCAAGGCACTTAACCCTAATTGCTCCTGTAAGTCGCTCTGGATAAGAGCGTCTGCTAAATGACTAAAATGTAAATGTAAAAATGTACATAGACACACATATACACACATACATACACACATACATTTTCTTATCATAGTCTACTCCCTGCATTCCTCAGTTATCACCGTTATCACAATATTCTGCACCATGTTTAACAGTTCTCCTTCTTCTTCGCCGTCCGGTCTAACTCCTACTCAAATTGCTAAATAGTAACACAATGTCATAATCTTTACTGGTCCTACACTCACACATTACCAGGTAGTAGATTCTAACACATCTCACACAGTTTCGGAGTGTAATAATTAGTCACTACTAAGAAAGTACTAATCATACTTAAAACAAGAACATTTCACAACTATATTTAAGGGTGGAACATTTAGTAATTACTTTTAACCTGTATATATTTTAATTTCTATATCAGATAGCCAACCTAGTGGATAAAGTAAAAGATGTGAGGATCAAAAGAAGTGGGCTTGTTTAGATTTTTTGTACTTCAGCGGAACAGAAAAGGCATGTGTTGCTTCTCACCCAATTTGAGAAATATGCCGTGTCTTGCGTAGCTGTTCGGAGTAGGGCACCTCTCAATGGGGTAATATCTGGCGTCTCGTGGGAAGTCGATGTTGCTCTAATGAAGAATATCCCAGGTTTTCAATTCAAGTCAGATGAATCATGTGGTGAATGGAAACAAGGAAAAGAGGCTGTCAAACGGGTTGAGGGATCGAGTGGTTCAGAAAGTTCCACGGTGGCGGAGGGGCCTTCGCTACAGAGTTTGCCTCTCACCCGCAAGAACCAGACACTTTGTGGCCTTTATATGATTAACAGCACTACTGTCAAACTCCAGAAAGATTGACGTCATTTTGTCTGCGGCAGAGCGGTTCCTGGAGTGTTGTCTCGGGCAGTACCACCCTCTCAGGACCCAGAACCTGAGTAGGGATTTATGTAGTATTTTCTTTGGCTGTGGGACGATTTTTGTTACGCTCTTTACTATAATGTGTGTGTGGATTAACACCCGATTAGACAACAATCACCCCATTAAAAGGTGGAAACATCTTACCAATCACACCATTCATATGGTGAATGTGGTACCCCACACGCCACATGTGTGGTACGCTCACCTTTGAATAGTGATTCAGAACCAGTTGGTGGCGGCAATGTACCTTATAGGTTGTAGTCTGCCAATCAACCTCGAAGAAGTTAGCGGTTGAGAGCACTTGTACCTGGAATGTTGCAGAGTGTGTTCTCGAACCATGCTGTTTTGAAGAAATGTTTGGTGTGTGTGTGAAAAAGTTATTGGTGGTGAGCCAATGCATCGTATCTGCTTTAGTTTTCGAGATGATCGGTTTTTACATAGTATATATTTATTTATTCAGAAACATTTCAGTTTGTTGGCTATGTCAGTTCTTGTAATTTTTTTCAAAATACATACTTTTATGTTCAGTAGATGGACAGGCAAACACTGCCAAGTACTAAACAGCAAACCAATCAACACTTGTGTACTATCCAGGTACCATCTCTGCTGATCACGTCTGCCAATCACGTTCTCCGTTTCTAAGGTACTACACACAGCTGGTGACCGCTCGAGAGAGAACTCTGTCCAACAAACTGCTAAGTCTTTTTTTATATTTGTATTCTATTTAGTTATAGAAAAATAACTCCCAACTTTACATAAAACGTTGCCGTCGATTCTTCAACTAACCTGGTATTGTTGATACTCTCTTTGTTCTCTATTCTGGAAAACAGTTATCTTATAAATGTCTGTGTCCAGCTGCAGGTTGTTCTACAAACACCAGAGAAAACTCAGAAAGATAGTAAATCCATGATTTGTATCGAGTGAGCTATATGCCTCTTGTATGTGTGTAGATCTTTGTTTTGGAAGCACTATGGGCGTGCTGTCATGTACTTCTACATGTGGCCGCGTCGCGTAGAAATGACTAGTTCCTGCAAAGATGCTGGGAAATTCTAGATGTGCGGCAGCTAAGATGGTGAGGAACCTCCTCACGCAGTACAAACATGGATTTACTGTCTCTCCTCTCTTGTGTCCTGCCCCCAGAGATCAACCAAGTGCTATTCACCAAGCATGGGCTCAACTGATTCACTCACCTGTGAGGAGAACCATCCTAATTTAGTTTGAACTTGCCCTCCTGTCACATTGTGACCACATATGCATTTGCCTGTTGTCTTTTCTTTGTGGATTTTGTCTTACAAAGTCTACACAGTCTAGTGCATTTTAGAGTAGAAGATCACCAACTACAGATACACATGCTTGTTAGAGCATCTCGAAGACAAGGTTACAAACAGATTATGTTTTACTATTGTAACATGCATTGATGAGAATTCTATTGTCCCTGTCAGGAGCCCAGGCTTTTGCCATAGATGGTAGAGTTCTCATCTCTGGACCACATGATCTTAAGACTGCATTCCTAAGATTGCATTCCGCTAAGGCACTTCACTCTCTCTATATCGGTTGGCTACATTGGTGACCAGGGTGGGATCCTTTCGATACACCTATGGGACCTGGGCAGACAAATGCTCCTAGAGAGAGGGGGGAATACTGAAATATGCGTTGATGACAGTTCTACTGTCTCCATCAGAGGCTCAGGCTTTTGGCGTAGATGGTAAAGCGATCATTTCTGGACTGCAACATTGTAAGATTGTGCCCCACATGGCACTTACAGTGGGGAGAACAAGTATTTGATACACTGCTGATTTTGCAGGTTTTCCTACTTACAAAGCATGTAGAGGTCTGTAATTTTTATCATAGGTACACGTCAACTGTGAGAGATGAAATCTAAAACAAAAATCCAGAAAATCACATTGTATGATTTTTAAGTAATTAATTTGCATTTTATTGCATGACATAAGTATTTGATCACCTACCAACCAGTAAGAATTCCAGCTCTCACAGACCTGTTAGTTTTTCTTTAAGAAGCCCTCCTGTTCTCCACTCATTACCTGTATTAACTGCACCTGTTTGAACTCGTTACCTGTATAAAAGACACCTGTCCACACACTCAATCAAACAGACTCCAACCTCTCCACAATGGCCAAGACCAGAGAGCTGTGTAAGGACATCAGGGATAAAATTGTAGACCTGCACAAGGCTGGGATGGGCTACAGGACAATAGGCAAGCAGCTTGGTGAGAAGGCAACAACTGTTGGCGCAATTATTAGAAAATGGAAGAAGTTCAAGATGACGGTCAATCACCCTCGGTCTGGGGCTCCATGCAAGATCTCACCTCGTGAGGCATCAATGATCATGAGGAAGGTGAGGGATCAGCCCAGAACTACACGGCAGGACCTGGTCATTGACCTGAAGAGAGCTGGGATCACAGTCTCAAAGAAAACCATTAGTAACACACTACGCCGTCATGGATTAAAATCCTGCAGCCCACGCAAGGTCCCCCTGCTCAAGCCAGCGCATGTCCAGGCCCGTCTGAAGTTTGCCAATGACCATCTGGATGATCCAGAGGAGGAATGGGAGAAGGTAATGTGGTCTGATGAGACAAAAATAGAGCTTTTTGGTCTAAACTCCACTCGCCGTGTTTGGAGGAAGAAGAAGGATGAGTACAACCCCAAGAACACCATCCCAACTGTGAAGCATGGAGGTGGAAACATCATTCTTTGGGGATGCTTTTCTGCAAAGGGGACAGGACGACTGCACCGTATTGAGGGGAGGATGGTTGGGGCCATGTATCGCGAGATCTTGGCCAACAACCTCCTTCCCTCAGTAAGAGCATTGAAAATGGGTCGTGGCTGGGTCTTCCAGCATGACAATGACCCGAAACACACAGCCAGGGCAACTAAGGAGTGGCTCCGTAAGAAGCATCTCAAGGTCCTGGAGTGGCCTAGCCAGTCTCCAGACCTGAACCCAATAGAAAATCTTTGGAGGGAGCTGAAAGTCTGTATTGCCCAGCGACAGCCCCGAAACCTGAAGGATCTGGAGAAGGTCTATATGGAGGAGTGGGCCAAAATCCCTGCTGCAGTGTGTGCAAACCTGGTCAAGACCTACAAGAAACGTATGATCTCTGTAATTGCAAACAAAGGTTTCTGTACCAAATATTAAGTTCTGCTTTTCTGATGTATCAAATACTTATGTCATGCAATAAAATGCAAATTAATTACTTAAAAATCATGCAATGTGATTTTCTGGATTTTTGTTTTAGATTCCGTCTCTCACAGTTGAAGTGTACCTATGATAAAAATTACAGACCTCTACATGCTTTGTAAGTAGGAAAACCTGCAAAATCGGTGTCACGGTTTCGGCCGAGGCGGCTCCTCCTCCTTGTTCGGGCAGGTTTCGCCGGTCGTCGTCTCCGGAGTACTAGCTGCCACCGCTCTATGTTTCTTGTTTGATTGGTTTTGTCTGTTAGTCACACCTGTTTTGTGTTATGTCTCATTTAGCACCCTATTTAGTTTCCTTGTTGTTAGTTTAGTGTTGTGTGTAATTGTTCGTGTCGTGTTGTTGCGCTAACCCGTGTCGGTACGCTATTTTCATAGCTTCCTCCTTGTGTTAGGAGAGTATTTTCGCACCTGTGTGTGCGCTCGCTATTTTACGCCTGTGTGCGTCTTTTGCCTCCGGGCTGTTTGGATTAATTTTTGTGTGCTCTAGTAAAGTCTTGTTGGACTTATCCTCTGCTTCCTGCGCCTGATTCTACACCACACCAATCCACAGCAACGTGACAGAATTACACACCATACATGGAATCAGCAGGAGCACCCGTCGACATCATGGAGGAGCGTCTCCTTGGTCAAGAGCACCGGATCAACCAGATCGGGCACGCCTTGGAGGGCGTCATGGACAACCCTTCGTCGATGGGAAACCAGCGGGGTTCCCACAGCCCCACCTATCGCACCATCACCACCGGACAGCCAGCCCGTCCATCGACCGGAACCCAGTGGGATTCGGCTCTCGCTCCCGAGGGCGTACGACGGCACCGCTGCCGGGTGTCAGGGGTTCCTCTTACAAGTGGAGCTCTACCTTGCCACCATACACCCGGCGCCCACGGGATACGAGAGCGTTTCCGCCCTCATCTCCTGTCTCACCGGCAAGGCGTTGGAGTGGGCCAACGCCGAATGGAGGGGAATAGACGCCGCCACAGTCACCTATGCGGAGTTCTCCCGCCGCTTCCGTGCAGTCTTCGACCATCCACCAGAGGGGAAGGCGGCGGGGGAGCGTCTATTCCACCTCCGACAGGGGATGAGAAGCGCTCAAGAGTTTGCGCTGGAGTTCCGGACTCTAGCGGCTGATGCTGGGTGGAATGAGAGGGCCCTCATAGACCACTTTAGATGTAGCCTTCGGGAGGACGTCCGCAGGGAGTTAGCATGCAGGGACACTACACTAACATTTGACCAGCTGGTGGACATGGCCATTCGACTGGACACCCTGCTTGCGACCCGCGGACGTCCCAGGTGGGGGCCTCCCATTCCACCCTCCAGCGCCTCCGAGCAGAGTCCGATGGAGCTTGGAGGTGCTGGCGCTAGAGGGAGTAGAGGTAGGAGCCCGAGGGGGGCAGTCTCCTGCACCAAGTGTGGCCGCGGAGGGCACACCGCGGCTAGGTGCTGGGGAGGGTCCCCTGGTGAGGGAGATGGCAGGTCATACAGTGGGGAGTCCTCCCAGGTGAGTAGGCGCCCTACTTACCCAGAGCTTTCTGTCGTACACATTACATTACCTGTTTGTTTCCCACAGGTTGCACCTCGTTCCCAGCATAAGGCGCTAGTCGATTCAGGCGCAGCTGGGAATTTTGTAGATCGGAGATTCTGTGTTAAGTTAGGGATTCCCCTCCTTCCAGTCGAAAAGCCCTTTCCTGTACATGCCTTAGATAGTCGTCCGTTAGGATCTGGGTTGATTGGGGAGGTCACAAGCGCCACTTAGGATGATGACGCAGGGGGGGTCATGAGGAGACGATTCAACTCTATCTGATCGACTCTCCTGCGTATCCGGTGGTACTGGGGCTTCCCTGGTTGATTACCCATGATCCTACTATTTCGTGGCGAGAGAAGGCTCTTAAAGGGTGGTCTGCTCAGTGTGAGGGGTTATGTCTGGGTGTTTCCGTAGGGGCGACCTCGGTGGAGAGTCCGAACCAGATGCCAGCACTGCACATTCCTCCTGAGTATGAGGATTTGGCGCTCGTGTTTAGTAAGACCAGAGCGGCACGGTTGCCACCTCATAGACAGGGGGATTGTGCGATAGACCTCCAGACAGGAGCCGCGCTTCCGCGGAGCCATGTGTATCCTTTGTCACAGGAGGAGAAAAGGGCAATGGAAACTTACATTGCCGAGTCTCTGAGACAGGGATACATACGGTCCTCCACTTCTCCCGCGTCCTCGAGCTTCTTTTTTGTGAAGAAAAAGGATGGAGGTTTGCGTCCGTGTATTGATTACCGCGGTCTCAATCAGGTAACTGTGAAATATAGTTATCCACTCCCGCTGATTGGGACCATGACGGAGTCATTACACGGGGCACGGTTTCTTCACAAAATTGGACCTCAGGAGCGCATATAACTTGGTGCGCATTAGGGAGGGCGATGAGTGGAAGACAGCATTTAGTACTACCTCCGGCCATTACGAGTATCTCGTCATGCCATATGGGTTAATGAATGCTCCATCAGTCTTCCAATCGTTTGTAGATGAAATTTTCCGGGACATGCAGGCGCAGGGAGTAGTGGTGTACATAGATGATATTCTTGTGTACAGTTCTACTCGGGCCGAGCATGTAGCCCTGGTGCGCAGGGTATTGAGGAGACTGTTGGAGCATGACCTGTATGTCAAAGCTGAGAATGTCTGTTCTTTCAGGAGTCAGTTTCCTTTTTGGGTTACCAGTTGTCTGCGTCAGGGGTGAGAATGGAGGTGGACCGAGTGGCAGCCGTGCGTAATTGGCAAACCCCAACTACGGTTAAAGAGGTGCAGCGGTTCTTGGGTTTTGCGAATTACTACCGGAGGTTTATCCGGGGTTTTGGACAGGTGGCAGCTCCCATAACGTCTCTTCTGAAGGGGGGTCCGGTGCGCTTGCAGTGGTCGGCGGAGGCGGACAGGGCCTTTGGGAGACTGAAGGACCTGTTTACCTCGGCTCCGGTGTTGGCGCACCCGGATCCCACTTTACCCTTCCAAGTTGAGGTG